GAGCCGGTGGTCAATACCATTTTAATACAACTTTTTCCACCTATGAATTTCTTGTGTTACATATTTATAATAAACATCAGTTTAACAAAATGTAAATGCAGAATGTGTTTAGATTTTTTGTATATAAGTAAAAAGATGTTTACTTTAGTGAAAATCGAAAAGTTGATAACTTCCATTTAAAATCTCCTAACTATTGTATATAGTCAGACGTAGCATATCCCTTTCTCTATGAAATGGTATTGAGATGTTTGCGGTATATCATGACTAAGGATTGTGAATTAAATATTGAGGTGAAATTCTCTTCGGAATGCGGATACCTTTCTGCCAAGTATCTTGAAAAACAGAGTAAACTTTATTAACATTATTGCAAAAATTTTACTCTATACTTTTGCAACGCAGAAGTAAGAGTTTTTGTGAAACAGAAATACCAATGGAAGAGGAAGTTGTGGCATATGCATTTTTTAAACATACAAATAACAATAAAAACATTAGAAAATAATTAATTATACAAATATAACTTTACAATTTTTTAAATTATTGTACACTTTACACATTTAAAATCCATGAGAAGAAAAATCCATGAAAACTAATATGTTCTAAATGTCCAAGTATTTTGATTTATTATTTTTCTAAATTAAACATGCATGTTATTTTCTCATACGCTGAAAATCAGTGAAATTACACTAATTCATCAGTGCGTATAAACTGATTGGAATTAGTGGTATTCTGATAGCTGAGAACCAGCGATATTTCACTGATTCAAATTTAGAGAGAAAAAACTTCAATCAAAACAAAATAATGTTAATATTTTTTTACTCTTTTTTTTAAATTGGTATTCATTCCATTTCGTTGAAATTTGTAGTTATAATTTAAAGATTATTATTATTACTTATCTCAACTAAACATTTAGTTTACGCCTTTAAAAATCCAAATCTTCCTATTTAGAGTCGTTAAGTAGGTTTTAAGAGCAGTAGAAAGAGTAGAATAAACTTAAGTAGACTTTAGGAGAATCTAAGTAGATTTTAAATAGATTATTGAAGGAGTTATGTAGGACCTAAATTTTGACTCGCGAATTGGCCCCGTGTAGAAAATGAAAACTGGTCCTAACTTAGTCCTATCTATTTTGCCCTATTATTAACTAGGTCCAAGTTTGGCATTCTAGCTTGGTCCTACAATGGTATGTGATGCGATTTTATCCTGGTCCTAACTTGGGTGCCTAGTTAGAACCAGTTTTAATAATAAATAATAAATAATTAAAAAAATTAATTTTAACCACAATTAATACTAACTTTCTAGAAGGAATATTCTGTAAGTTTTAAATTATAAACTCTGAGAGTTAAATTAAAATTTGAACCCTACGGGAATAGAACTCCAGACACATGACCTAAGAGACCTACGAACCTAATTAGAAATTTTTATTTGATTTGTCTATACAAATTTTCACTCTTTTTTTTTAATTCTATTTTACAAAAATACTTGAAATCATCCAGAACTTTCACTGTAAGTGTTTTATGTTGTCAAATAATGGATTTAAAACATTATATTGCATTGTTTAATTGTTTAAACAATTTATTGTTGTTTATATTACCTTTTTTTGTAGTGCACCTAGAAAGATGCAGTTTTTTCCTAATTTTACATTTTATCAAATCGAATATAAAGCCAGATAGATTTGATGTAAAATTATTAATTCAACAATTGTTTAAACAATTTATTGTTGTTATTTATTAACTTTTTTGTAGTGCACCTAGAAAGATGCACCTTTTTCCTAATTTTCCAATTTATCAAGTTTATTTTATTCGACTTGATAAATTACAAAATTAAGAAAAAAACTGCATTTTTCTAGGAAAATTATGAAAAATGTTAATAAATAGAAACAATTATTTGTTTAACCAATTTAACATAATAGTTGTTGCAACTTTAATTCTATATTTTATTTTATTTATAACCTTTAAATTAATAGCTGCTAAGAGAAGGTAACAAATTTATAAAATTGTGCTACTGTCTATGTGTATTTAAAAGAGTTATAAATTATGAACAATAAATTGTTTAAACAAATATAAATTCAACAAAATATTTTTGAAATATATTATTTGGCAATATATATAACAATTAAATAAATTAACAAATATATTTGTGGAAAAATGTCTTTGAATATTTATTGCAAATTAATAAATAATTAAAACCATATAAATAATTATCAATTAATTAAATAAGTATTATATATTTCAGGATATTTTACAAATCCTAAATTCAATCACTTTTTTCATAAAAAATTTTCTAACACTTAACTAGATGTTCTAACTATGTCCAAGTTAGGACCAGCCTAGAATAGTATATAAACAGGGGCTGCCAAGGTAGGACCAATGTTGGGCCAACAATCATTTTAGGCATACGTTAGTGATTTCTACACAGGGCACGACAAAATAGCTTGATTTGGGCAACCAACACAGAGAAACTTTGTAAACCACTTTTTCTTAAACTCACTATGTATATATTTTTAGTAAATTGACTACACAGAAAAAACCTGGTCTCAAAATGAGTAGCGTTCGCTACTCATTTTGAAGTTCACCAAAAAAGAGCCTGGTTGGTGGCGCCACTGTCTATGTCGTTTAGCATTGGCTCATTTTGAGTTGCAACAAAAATGAGACTAGGTTTTTTCTGTGTATACTAAAGTAGGGAAAAACTGCAACGATATCAATTTTTCTTAGTCTTACTACTAAAATTTGGCATTGGATCGAAAATTAAATTGCACTAAAAAACATACCCAAGCAGCACGGTATATCCCCTGAATATCCCTTTAATTCCACCGTGGAATATTCCCATGATCTTCCAGAAAAATCAAAATGTCCGCATCATGGGAATATTCCACAGTGAGATTCAGGGTATATTCCAATGACATTGAGGGTAATATTAAAGGAATATTCCACGGTTATATTGAATTTTTTTTTAAGTGTTGAAATAATAGAAATATGTTATAAATTGTTATTTGAATAAGCATTAAAAACACATTTAAAAAAAAAATTCAATGTAACCGTGGAATATTCCCGCAATACCATCTGAATATCCCCTTAATGTCACTGGAATATTCAGGGCGGTATAGATTCTACACAAATAAACCCTACACGAGAAAATTTGCGCACCGATAATTTTACAAAAAAAAATCCTACACTTGTACAATAAGCAAAATAAAATTAATTAACAATTTTTTACTTTACACAATTAAATCAAACATAATTTTATGTTATTTATTTTTATTTATTTATTTTTTTTTTTCTACACATTCAATTGCACACAGGAAAACCCTACACCGTTAACTCTGAAAAAAAATTCTACACAATAATATGCTGAATAAAATTTAAAAACAAATAATAAAAATTCTAAACGATTAAATACTACAAAATATAACCGTACAAATTAAATTGCACTCAGGAACTCTCCACGGTTAATTAGAATTTTTTATATTCTACACAGTCGAGATGGCAACCCTGTTTTTTTCATAAATAAACATAGAGAATCTTCTTGTGCTGAGTTAATCGTGTAGGGTTTTCCTGTGTGCAATTTAATTTGTACGGTTATATTTTGTAGTATTTAATCGTTTAGAATTTTTATTATTTGTTTTTAAATTTTATTCCGCATATTATTGTGTAGAATTTTTTTTTCAGAGTTAACGGTGTAGGGTTTTCCTGTGTACAATTGAATGTGTAGAATAAAATTATGTTTGATTTAATTGTGTAAAGTAAAAAATTGTTAATTAATTTTATTTTGCTTATTGTCCAAGTGTAGGATTTTTTTTTGTAAAATTATTGGTGCGCAATTTTCTTGTGTAGGGTTTATTTGTGTAGAATCTATACCGCCCCGAATATTCCATAAATGTCACCGAGGAATATTTCCTCAATGTCACTGGAATATACCCTGAATGTCACTGTGGAATATTCCCATGATGCGGACATTTTGATTTTCCTAGAAGATCATGGGAATATTCCACGGTGGAATTAAAGGGATATTCAGGGGATATACCGTGCTGCTTGGGTATCGTCGATAATGTCAATGCAAGTGGTCACCCATCCAAGTTCTAACCGCGTCCAAAGTTGCTTAACTTCCGTGATCCAATCTCAAATTGAGTACAAAATTTATACTAAATTTGATACGCATCAAAAATGAGACAGGGAGATGGCTCCACGTTCTATGCCATTCAACATGAACTCATTTTGAGATGCAACAAATATGAGTCCAACTTTTTCTGTGATGAGAACTCGTTCCTTCGCCTAGGTGTTTCAGCTGGTCTTGTCTTGATAAATAACTTTTTTTGTATAGATATTGTATCGCACCTAACTTCACTTTTACTGTCGCAAAGCAACACAAATACACCCCAACTTAAAAAAAACAGAAATAATGTTCATTTGAAACCGATTCTCAATAATTGAAAGAATAATAAGCTTGAATATATAAGAGATGTACATGACATATGATATATTTTTTTTGGGGGGGGGGGTTTCATAGACAAGCTCACATGTGCTCAGGAGAGTACTGTATGTTTTAAGCTCCTCTAACTTCTTAAGAAAAAAAAGTATTTTCTTTATATAATCTAACCAGATTGTAAAATTTTAAACACAGAAAAATAAAAATAAAGCAAAATAAAGCCTCATTTATATTATTTATGGTTAAATTATAATTTAATTAATAATTTATTGTTGCGTTTAAGTTTAATAAATTTCGTCTTTTTCTCGTTTTTTCCCCACTTTAGTAGTCAATTTACTAAAAATACATAATATGAGTTTAAAAAAAAGTGATGAACAAAGTTTCTCAGTGAAATAATTATGTTTATAACAGAAAATTTGTACCTTATGAGAATGATTAGTTTGAGTTTCTGACAAGGATGCGTAGTCCTGTGGAAATATTATTTTAATATTTTCTGTTAAAATATTTAAATTGGACATATATAAATGAAATGTTAAATTTATAACCATAACTAAATGTTACTTGTTTCATTCGTTTTTCAGAATTACAAAGTCAAAGATGAAGGAAAGGTAGTGGTTTACTCAACGACAATGGGAATTGTGAGGGAAACATATTACGCATGTATGAAAGTTAAACAAATTTTGAGGACACATTTGGTCAAGTACGAAGAACGAGATATGTTTATGAGTACTGAGTGTCAGACTGAACTTAGAGACAGAATAGAGTCTTCCACTATTGAAGTTCCACAACTTTTTATTGATGGAGAGTACATAGGAGTAAGTTTTATCTAAATAAACATTTTTACTATTAATTTTTTATGTGCTTTTATATATATTGGTTTACAGTTTTGCCCTGCAAATGGAGCACAATCTGGTATATTGCATTTTTTAAAAAGCTGTTACAAGCCTCTAACGTAAAAGATGTATTGCAGAGAACAAATTTTTTTCATTGCAGATGAATATTGTAGCAACATTATTTGATTTTTAATTAAATAGTTTGTAATTTTTGTAAACTGTCAATTGAAATTACAAGCAGAAAGTAAAAGTAGTATTTAATTTGGATTTAGTAACATGCCCCAAGCAAGCAAAAATTTCAACAGGCGCAATGTTGGGACAGTACTGCCGTTCAGTACAGGTTCTTTACTGAAATTTAGTATTGAATCTGTATTTTTCCAGTAAGGGCACAATTATAGTAACCAGTAATAAGCCAGTACTAGTATATGTTTAATATAAAATTTTTATTTAATATTTATTTCGTTTTTCATTCTGATATTTATTTTATTATTCAAATAATTATTTTTCTTTAACTACTATCAAAGAAATATTTATTTGTATTTAATAAATGTTTTATAATTCCATTGGATGGTATTTGTTCGAATTGACGAAATTATTCGTTAAAGTAGAGTTTATTTGATTCAAATATGTACTTAATTCTGTTAACGAACGTAGGGCAATAGTCACCTTGAAGGTACCGTCAACGTACCAGGTATCGCTATTGGCAAGACGTTCAAAATTATTGCGTGTACCGAAAACCAAAACACGACCCTCACCGAAACTCCCTTCGTCACGGGAATCATAAATGAGAAAGCGTTCGTTTGACAATGTTTTCTGAAAACGTGCAGGCAGTTCATCAATGTCCTCTAAACTTTTTGGATTTGGAGGCAGTTCGAGTCTCCCTTCTCTCCTCATAGATTTTTTCATGTTCTCGCGCTCAGGAAGTTTTGCCAAAACACTGGGCCTTACATTTCCAAGGGCGTTGCGTAAAATCTGTCAACGATAAAACAAAATGTAAAAAAAAGCAAAAAGAATTAAAAAATTTTAAATCTAATTTCGAAATTCACCTGTGCCGGAGGGCATTCAGGATGCTCCTCAGCAGTTCTTTTCAAGTTAACCTTAATTATTTCCGCTTCCGCTTCATCTTGATTCGGAGGGTGTGAATGCACAGATTTCGTGGGGCCTTTCACAACAATTATTTCAGATGCACTTTGAATTGTGATTGCACGGGCTTTACATTCTCCTCGACGTACCTTTTGGCAGTCCCAGTAAAATTTTTCATTTTTTGAAGCTCTGGAACGAACGTAAATAAAACCCTCCAATAATAATTTGTTTCCAACAATTCGAGGCTGCTCAAGATTTAGATCCATAATTTACACTATGAATGTCACGACACTAGATAATTTTAAATGAGTCAATAATTAAAAAACTTTACTTGAAAATTTTGAATCAGTTAAATGACTTTACTTGAAAACTTTGACGTTAGATAAACAAGTGAATCTCATTTGTTTTTCATACTTCATACTTAACATATATATATGAAAATTTTATTTAAATTTAAAAATTAAATTAAATTAAAAATTTTATTCGGGCAAATGTACTTTCGGGCAAATATTTTCGGATAAAGCCGATCGGGCGAATGGATTCGGGCAAATGTGCATTCGGGCGTATGAATTCGGGCGGTTGTTTTCGGGCGAATGGGCGTATACCGGCGAACTACACACTTTTCTCTGTGTTTTTACTGTATAAGTTTGAATGCATTCGATTATAGGTACTTACTTAGTTTTTTAATTTTCTCGATCATTTTTCCTAATGATGATAATAGTAAATAATTATTTTATATTTTTAAAAAAGAAAAAAGTTTATCAATAAGAAACAAAATATTAATAAAACACCGAAAAAAACATTCTGAAATTTAGAATATTTGCTTGACATCTATTTTAGAATACTTTATACTTAAATTCAGTATGTAATACTCTTAAAATTAGAATATTCTTATATATCTATGTATTTTTAAATTGTAATACACTGTTAAAAATGTTTGTAGTTTTAATATACATAAAGTACTTAAATTAAAAAACTGGTATATTAGAGTGTAATTCATATACAAAGTATATTAAATTTTGTCATTGAAAAAAATTCAAATAAAAAAATTGCATTTTACTCAATTTATACATGTTCTTGTGTACAAAATAAGGTTTTTATTAATAAAGCAAAGTAATTTCTTTCATGTAAATATAAGTTTAAATCAATTTACATTGTAAAAATGCATATAATTTGACATTTATAGTACTTAACCTAAATGTCACATATAAGTATTAAAATTCTTGTATTTAGAATGTTTTTTTTGAAAAATTTTCCCCTTATAAAACATTATTTGGACATAAACAACACAATAGTTAAAGAATTACGCACTGTTGTTTCAATTTCAAATAAATTTTCAATATCAAGGAAATAATGACCGTTTGGTGAAATAGGCATCTACAGCCGCCATGTTGTCACTTTAAATTTAATATACATGTATCTTAGATTTCAATACCTGTAGTGCATATTCGCTTCATACGCATGTATATTAAATCTAATACAGATTTTTCTAACAGTGTATTAACTTTATAGGATTCTTTCTCACAATCAAATTCATTTCTATTTTTTTACTTTCTAAAAGGGCAAAGTTTATAAGTATTCAATCATCATTATCTATCTACAGGACTAGTACTTAGTCAAAAGCCAAATTTAATCGTGATTGCTTTCGGAGAAGGACTCCCAAATTATTAAAGAAAGTTTTAAATAAAAATCTGTGAATTTATTATTTGGAATCCAACAATATATTCTTCGTACTTATAGTATATATTCTGAATGCTAAGAATATATACTGAATACTAAGAATATATTCTAATTTTAAGGAAAATTACATATATTGAAATAGGTGACAAGTATATATATACACTAAATTTTAGAATACTTTTTTTCGGTAAATTATTATTGAAAGATATATATATATATATATTTAAACTGCTATTTTTGTCCACAGAATGCAGATACAGTAGAACGATTAAATGAGTCTGGGGAACTGCGTCTTATGCTGAAGCCATATAAGGTGAGCTATTTTTATTTACTTTTCTTGTTTCCTGACACTTTATTATAATTTGAAATATATTTTTTATAACACCTTTCGTCAAAAACTGGACTAAAGCATCCAATTAATCTTTTATAAAATTTTAATGTTTGCGACTTTTTATTGGATCCCCTGCTATTTCTATTTAAATATTAATTTGCTTGAAACATTCAGGAAAATCTTTTTATAAACCTTGATTAATTTTCCGGGTACATTTTCCTTAATATCCTAATACTATGTTCCTTTATTTTTATGTATAATATATAAAACTGTCTGACAATTGAAAGTAATGTGATTAGCTTAAAGGAAAATATAAAATGATAATGTTTAGTTTCAAAAACCGTAATGTAAGTTTTGTATTTGACATCCAACTATTCTGATTGAAGCATAACCTCTAGCATTCGTTTTTAATAATTTACAAGTTTTTTTATTTATTATAAAAGAAGAAGAATTTATTCTATATTGTAGCGCTCAACACTTTTAGAAATGTAAATTCACAGACAAGCTAATTTAAAATATTGAGTTTCTGTCAAGGAATGTATTATATTCTAGAAATCGGTAACAATTCATCGAGTCGTATTGACACGCAAATGCTCAAGAATAAATCGTGGGCACAGAGAAAGTGATATCATTGCTAATAATGAAGAAGGGGGAAACAAAAGTAAAGTAGGTAATAGATGCATTGAACAATGGCATTGGATATTGTGAGATCGTTCGCTATTCACTGCTTTTATAACGGTTATTTGTGTATAGTTTCTGATGCATTACGTTGATAGAAGTCTGTTGTTAAAATAAGAAGGTCTAGAAATTTTTTTTCTATTTATGTTCGCAGTTTTGCACTCAACCTCGCGAATACCGGTTCAATGTTTCAAAGTACTTTTTCTTTCTAATTCGCCACATTCCCTGGGATTATCAAACCTTAAAATTATCTTTTCCATATTAGTTGATTTTACATATTATTTCGCTGACGTTGTTTCTCATAAGTTTTTAAAATAATTTTATATATATTGGCTAATGTGACAGGTTGGTTGTTGGCCAGAAAACATTTTGTAATTGTATATAAACACATAACACTGTGCAAGGAAAACGCAAGGTTATACAATCCTTTCACTTTTATCTCCTGGTATCTATTCCCTACCTCTGTATAATCTGACGTAGAGCAGCGTGCTCATAAATTTTGGTGTCAAGCCATCAAGATTTTACCTTGCAGCGCGCAAAGGTCGTTTGTGAGTTACTCACATTCGCATTCCTCTAAAGACGTTTCTTCTCTATTCAACCTTAAAGCCTCTATTTCAACCTTTATCTGAATTCTATTGAAAAATATCATATGCTACATAATTTTTAGACCTGTGCATATCAACCAAACAGAACTACTTAAATTTTTACATCCTGTAAAAGGTCCATATTTTTACCTTTGATACGCCTTGATAATACTACTAATTGAAATACTTTAATTGAAAAACTTTTCAATTTAGTTTAATTTTTTTGATTAAAATTTTTTCTTGTTTCAGAGCGCAGATGCATGCTCAACGTGTAAAATTTGTGGTGGCTACAGGTTACTTCCATGTCCAATTTGTAATGGCAGCAAAAAGTCCGTCCACCGCAACGATTTTACTACAGAATTTGTAGCTTTAAAATGTATGAATTGCGATGAAGCGGGTTTAGTTCGTTGTCAACATTGTTAAAGACTCAGGATTTTGTTTAATCAATGTTGCTAATGAAATTTAACACATCAAAATAAAACCTTTAAGATGATGTTAAATTTTTATTTTGACAAGAATTAATTTAAGTATCCTTTCTATAAGTTAAGAAAAAAAATTAGGATGAAGAATTGTACAAAAAATTGAAAGTTTGCTTTCGGAGAAAATGTTGCTCATAATTTGTGTATACTCAACTTTCCTAATGTCAATATTAATTAATAGGTGCTACAACAATATACATTATGTGCAATGATGCATATAATATAATCTGCACTGAAATGACACTTGTGACTGAATTTTATTTGATTATTGACAATCGTTAATGGTTAATTGTATAAAACTGCGAGTAAACAACGTAAAAGTAAATGTCGGTAAAATTATTTTAATTTGAATATAAGCAGAGTATAGCCTGTCTTGATTGCTTTCAGTTAATTGTATCCACATTTCGACAATGCGGGTCTCCACGTCTATTGACCTCAGACGTCCAAGTTGGATGATTATTTTTAATATTTATGTCAATTTATAAATTAATATTCTGATCAATTTGAAATACAAAAAAACCGCGTATGCATGATTACTTAAATAAATTTTATACAAATTATTACTTTGTTCTCTTTGCTTTCTGCTTTTGTACAATGAACTCTTCGATCGTTAGTTGAAGTGTTATACACGCGTTCCTGTGTATGTGTAAAGACGTATAGATGTATATGTATATCATATGATATTTCAATATCAACATGCAATATTTCTAAATAAACTTTATATTGCGTACTATATAGATTGAGTATTTTATATGGGAGAGAAGTGTTTCTGTGTCGCTATAATTATTCAAATTGTCACACAGCAATGAACCATCAGCATGTATAAATAAAAGCTTAGAGCTTAGAAATTTCCTTGGTGCTGAATGAACACATGCAACAAGTTTCACTGCTAGAAGTTAGCCATATTTATTGTAGGTATATTTTATTGAGACGCTTTTATTGAGAAATGACTAAAATTTCAAAATAAATAAACGACGCTTCAAATATAAAGCGCAATGTTCAATTGCGTAGAATATTAATGAAATTAAAAAAACGATAATTTATCATTGTTGTGTAATATAAACATTTTTTGTGTAATGGAACAGAGAAGGATAGAAAAGTAGGTAGGGTATGTATATGGGGACCTTCACCGAGACCTAGTTGGTCGACATTGCTCCTGGTGTTACACTCGTCATAGCAGCACCCCACCTACCCCATTATTCTGCCCGCCAGCACTTGGCTGATACCCTCAACACAACACGCACCTTGTCCTGGATGGTGCTGGAGGACTAGGGCTTACGCTTTCGAGACGCAGGCGCAAACGCATCCCAATTCTAATTCTATTCAACAATGTTAACGCTGATACCGACGCGACTTGGTACTGATTTTGCATTCAGCACTGTTTTTCTATCGGAACAAGATCAGGACACTGTGCGCGCTAAACTAGCGAATATCTCTAGTGAACCTCCCGAACTCGTCCAACGCACTTCCTTCGCTCCGAGAGAGCCTATCATGGGAGTTGTTAAATCTGCCTCGGAAAGTATCCTCGAGGAAAATATTGTGCCCAGTGAAGAAGTTCAAGTTCACGCCGGTAAGTCTGACAATCTCTTTAATGACTTCTTCTCTTTCTAAATATTAACATCGGCAATTCAAAAAAAAAAAATAGTGATGCTTTACTTTATTTATTTCCATCATGTGTATTTATTTGACCCAGTATTACAATTTATGTTAAGAATGTGAATCGATAAATAGATGTGAAGAAGAAACATTCGGAAACCAAAATTTTGTATCTTTAGATAAAAAAAACGAAATTGAGTAGCTAAGCTAGGAGATGCCAAAAATGCAAATTATCAGGTCGCGCAAATCCGTTTCACTTTCGTCCAAGTCTGGACTTTAAAGCTGACGTTGCCGCCCACACCAGACCCGAACAACTGCTAACAGGTGTTTGAATATACAGATATATTAGTTACGAACCAAATCGCACACTGTTGATTTAAACAGGAAAATTCATTCCAAATTTTTTTCAAGAGATCAAAAATATTCCTCTTAATTTAATTTATCGCATAAATGCATTTAACAGTCTTGAAAATGTTAGGATTTCATTACTTTTACATGATAAAAAAAATGAAAATATTAAATTTCTCTACACATATATCGAGAACAAAAATAGGAAATTTATAATTATACTCTCTTAATTTGAATCAGTGATAATTATACCACTGATTGAAATCAGGGAAAATACACTGATAAGCAGTAAAAATTCACTGAGTAACCAGTTATAAGTATACCACTTAATCAAGTAAGTGAAAATACATTTGCGAATCAGTGAAATTCGACTGATTCAGATTAAGAGAGTATTTGAGTTATTTATTTAGAAGACAATTTTTTACTATAAAATTTTTGCTTCTTTAAATATGAATTACTTGAAAGTATTTCTATTTTCCTTAAAAAGATGCATATTAAAACAATCTATTTTTCAAAGCTGCAGTAATTTTTTTTTTATTTTTTTATGTTAACCTTCGTTGGCACGTGTTTTATTCACCATTGAAATGTTTTATATTTCTACTTGGATGCCCGTGAACCACAATGGAATCGAAGTCCTATTTCATCCTGCGCATATGCATGCATCATCAAAAGTAAAGCACCTACATATATTAAAATAGTTACCTAATAACCTTGTAAATTTTTATGTATGCTAGAGGAAAAGTTCATTATTATTATTATTATTATTATTATTATTATTATTATTATTATATATAATATATATTATCGAGTTACAAAAAATAATGTTAATATTCAAATTATACTGAAATATATATGTGCGATTTCTATCGTCGAATGTAAATTGTTTTACATATACTGTTTTTATTAAGTTATATATTGCATTTTACTTTGACTGTAGTTTTCTAAATAAGTCATCTACAGATATATTTTAAATTCATCAGTCATTTCAAAGTTAAAACAGAAATCCATTATTATACAATATTAAAAAATTACTTGACTTGTGTGAATTTTATTAAACAATAAAAGAATAACACCAGATCTAAAAAAATGTTGAAGGCATGAGATTTTCCTACCCAAAATCCTTGAATTTTTTCATCATTTTTGTGGGTTATTAATGAATTATTCATAAAAATTAAACTTCTTTTATTGTGAAAATTAAAAAGCAAATACAAAATATACTTCCTAGCTAGCTAATTCGTTACAGGTGCAAGAAGATAAATAATGCATGGAGGGCGGAAAAGTTAATTTACAAAGAAATCGTTAAGTCTACTTTGTATTAAAGACGACGTGAAACAATGTGGAATTATTGACCTTGGCCTCTTAAAAGACATCTGTAGCTCGATAGGGAACTCATGGTTTGCTCCAAAGACGGTAAATTTTAAGCATGCGCTTTCAACGGGCATCTTCCAACATTATATAGAGAAGACGCGGACACGAGAGGCGAATGTCATGGTCGTTGGGGTGGTGATGTGAGGGAATTTTAACCATTCTCAAACGAGAATGTTTTCTGTAATGGATTCTCAATATTCCAATCATAAAATACATGTCCTCCACAACCACATAATAGGTGCAGTCCTAATATAGATTACCACGACTCTTTGCCAATATTTTAAAATAATGATAAATGGCTATTCTTTTGTCCGGTTTAAAAAAGTCACTATATTTAAATTTTTTTATGAAAAATATAATAGTATATACTATTTTGAATATAATTAATTAAAATTATTAATTTCTTTGCACTTATGAACAATAAGTTTATTTAAAAGTTTTTAAATCTTTTGAGGGATGTAGATACAAACGTGTTTCCTTCAATATCTTCATTTGATTGGAAATGTATATACTTTTTTTAAACCGAACGGTAGTTATTGACCAAAAGATTAACGCCAAGACTATTACACGTAGTACACATTATAATTACGGAAAGAAATCTTGTAAGGATATTTAATATTTTGACACTCATATTTAGTATATTAAGTTACAATTGCGGAAAATTTTGTAGATTTTGGGGTGGTAATAACTTTCGTTACTTTTTTTTAAGAATGCCTAAAATAAAAATAATAAAGTTTAATATATTTAGAAACAAAAATTAAAATAGTTTTTGCGAAATTCATAATTGTATTATGAAAACTCCAAATGTTAAGTTCTAATACGCCCTGTAACAAGTATTAGAATAAAATATTTCATTTTCTGTATTTAGAATTCCGTTAACTGGTATAATCATTTTACATTTTGATATAGTTGATAAGAAAGTGGATTGGGTTAAATCCTTAAATTTACATATACCGTGGATGTCCCAGTTGCCGTCCACCTAAGACCTAGTTTCCGTCCAGTTTAATTTTCAAAATAACATTTATAAAAAAATTATTTTTCTTTTATTTGTTTACTTAAACTAATAAGTCGATTGCGTGCCAAAAGGAATAAATTATTGTTAAAAAATAATTTAAATTACTATACGAGATATTTGTAAAATGGACGGATACTGAGTCCGATCGGGTTTGACCGATCAGGGAATTTTTTTCTTTAAGACTTACTGGACATCCTGATTTTAAAATAATTTTTAATACTGCAATATGAATTAAAAATAATTTTAATTAATATTTAATAATAAAATACTTCATTTGTTTGCTCATAATTTTTATATAATTTTTATTTCTGCAAAGACTAGAAAAAGTTTTGATAAATAATTGTTTTAAATTATTCTATATTTCATTTTCTAAATATAATTATAGATTATTTGTTATAAGTTTGCTTCTATAATTAAATTAAATGCTTTTATGATAAAAATTGTTCTTTGAAAGGTAATAAAATATTTTATTATTTCTTAATAAATAATTATTTTTATTTTTATTTTTAAACATTTAACAATGTAATATTAAGCTTCTCACAAGTGCAGAAAAATCTGTCTATTTAGTATATAAAGAAGTCCACAATTTCTCATTTCAGCTCATTTCAGTTAGGATGTGTTAGGAATAATTTTAAGCCAATCAAAGCGTACCAGTTATGTGTGTGTATTAAGTGTGTATTACCCCCACTACCCTCGAATAGAAAAGGAGAGAAAACCTGAGAAAAGAGCCATTGGTGGTTCCGACGTTCTTCTTTTTTTCACGGCTCCTGCTTTTTCGTATAGTTTTAGCAAATTACGAAATGTTGGTTCTTGTTTTTCGTATAAATTTAGTAAAAATTGTAGATTTGAATTAAGAAATAATAATTTCAGTTTTCGTAAAATGTTTTCAGTTAAAGGTATTCGTAAAACTATACCGCGACTTTTATTATCAAACCAGAATGCACCAAAAATTTTTCCGTGTACTAATGTGAAATGGCAAATATTATTTAATGAGTGCAAGTTAAATATAAGGCAATTATAATTCCGAAAAATTAAGTGCAGAAATTTCAAAACTGTTTGTCACATTGCTCTCTACTTCTATTTCATATTTACTGAATAATAATTCTTTCTCAATCATATTTTTATCAATTTCTTTTCTGCTATTTCTTCTCAAAATTATTTCATTTTGTTCAAGTGTCAATTCGATTTATGGAATTGTAGAAGTACAAAAAAATGTTTGTATATCATCAAGTAAACTGCTAGTTATTTCTGTATAATCAGGTTCAAACATCTTTCCTTCAAGATTTGCTTTAAACAGATACTCGGCCTAAAAAATTAAGCATTAAATAAGTTTTATTTATATTGCGTTAGTTTAGAGAATATGAGCATAAAAAAATGCAATTAACCGATCAGACCTTTTTTGTAACGTTTCGAGATCAGTATCGATCTCCCCGTTTAAATTATTTATTATCGTCAATTCTGACAGATTTTAAATATCTTGACACCTTCGGTCCCAGTCATTGGTACCTTACTTAATAATATAGCTCTAAAATTTCTTAACTAATTATAGAATTTAACTAGAAATTATTTAGATTACAAGAACATCATATAAAAATGAAAAAATTTAAAAACCTGTGTGATATTTCTTAAAGACATAATAGAATCAAAAAAAATTTCTTAACGTCACTTTTTCTGTTGTGGTTAAAAAATGTTAATGATGCCAACAACTGAAAGTTCAAAACCGAGCGCACATATCCATAATCGTTGGTACAGAATAAAATTTTATTTCACTGTATTTACTTTTTGTTAATGAATTATATACATCATTTATTGCAGAATTGAATAAACGTTTGCAAAACAAGTTAAATATTAATTAACTATTCCAGTGTTAAAAAATATGCTATTAAATTAACAACATTTTGTTTAAACATAAAAATTATTGTTTCAAAATCATATACTATATAGAGTTTATACATAATATATTTTTCAAATTCTATAGCATATGTGGAAATATTGCTTTAATATTAAGTTAATATTGATATTATTATTATGTCGTTTACAATTTTATCTCCGAATCAGTATAATATGCCAATGGTATACCAATAATTTTAGAGTACAACTATATACAGTACTGACATCCAATATCGCTGTTTGTATTCTTCGATTGTTTTTGAATTTTCAAAAAAACTACTTCATTTTACAAAAATTTTAAGCCTAATCTGGTCGTAAAAAACAATTTTTCAATATTTTTTGAATTTTTTAAAAATATCTCTGGATCATTTTATATCACCTAGAAAAAAGATTTCTTTGTTTCAAAGAAATCAATTTCTTTGACAAATTTTTCTTTGACACAAAGAAAATTTATTTGTTTCAAACAGATTATCTTTAAGTCAAAAAAAAGTATTTTCGCTTCAAAGAAATTTTTTATTTAATTCAAATAAATGTTTCTTTGGCCATATATCTATGTTAGAATTTATTTGATTTAATGCACAATTTGCTTTGAAACTAAGAAGTTTTTTTTGTTTCAAAGAAAATTTTATTTTGAATGAAAGAAAACAAGTCAAAGAAATTTGTTTCTTTAAATCAAAGTAATCTTTTCTCTGGGTGTACTATACATACTTTTATGTATTCTTTTATATTTGATTATTTTTGGCCATAAAAAAGTGCTAAAATTTTTTTTTCTCGTTTATATTGGGTAAAATATGCAAAATTTTTAAAAAGTGCATAAGATCTACAAATTTTATTTAATTTTTTTTTAAATTTTCCATATTTTACCCAATAAACGAAAAAACAAAAAATTTTAGGACTTTTTTTATAGTTTTCGCCATAAAAATTAAATTTGAGGGTATTGTCACTAATTATTTTTATAATCCGCTCAACAAAATACGTAAAATAACTTAGTATAAAAAAACCGAAGATATTTTAAAAATAATTAAAAATTTCGAAAATATTGAAAAAATTGTTTTTTCACTACCGGATTAGGCTTAAAATTTTTGTAAAAGGAAGTTTTTTTTGAAAATTTTTAAAAATTCGAAGGATACAAACAGTTTTAACCTTGAAATTACAAAAAATATATTTTTCTTCATGAATTACTATAATAAATATCTGGTAGCACTAGTATCTGGTCGTAACATAATATTATGTGTATTAAAATATCAACAATTATTGAATTTAGAAGCAATTTTAATTTATAGAAATGGAGTGCAACCATCTGGGCTTTATCCTAGATTATCTTATTCGCCGAGCATTCCAAATCAAATCTTACGTGTAGATCTATATAAATAAGTTTGCTCGATTGAAGGCTTCACGTTACTGGTAACGTGCGCCTTTTCTAATAACATAAGTTTTCAAGGTTTCTTATTACTCTTCAACTGAAATAAACATCGGAACTACAGCAATAACAATGAAGGACCAAAGATTTTCTAAATAATAATACCTAATAATATTTAGGAAATATTCAATCACATTTCGTTAGTTTACCCCACTTTTTAAAAAAATTCTTATGTTAATTTTGAAAAAATATCATTTATTGAAATAAAAATTGAAATTAAGACGTTCTCGGTGATTCATAATCTGAGTCCTCGTTTCTGTTAATGGCTTCTTTTAAAACTTAATGTAAATCATCTTAGATATTTGGCATTGAAAAAGACCCATTCGAATACTTTTTAATACCAAAAAGGGCCGTTTTCTTCCTGAATTCCATTTAATGCCCTCAATAGGTATTGCCTCGACTGACCTATTTTTCTTTCCACTAACATCGTTGTTCAATTGTACCCGTGTAGAAATTTCCCTACCAGGGCCCTGGTAGTGAATAATAATCTGGTCCCGATAAGGGACAGTTCAGGGACACGAGAAAATGTGCATAGGCTCATTTTGATTTGCAACAAAAATGAGACTAGGTTTTTTCTGTGTATAAATACTTACAAGATATTCAACAGGATCAGCAGGACGCAATTTTGCCACTTGAATAAGTCCTTGAGTCAATGTTGGAAAAATATATTTCATTAAATATTGACGGAAAGGTTCATTTAAAATTTTTAATTCTTCTTCTTCTTCTTCCTTTAAGTTTTGTAACATAGTCTAAAACAAATATGAAACAATACTTTTTATATATTTCGTTAAATCTGAGTACTTGGAATTTAATGAAAATTAGTAGTAAATTTCGTAACTTTAAATATATATTGAAAATGTAACAGAATTTTTGTCACTAAAATTATTATGGTCTTATAATATTGATTGAATTTATCTGAGATTTTGTAATTTTCAAATACATGTTTGATAATAATTAATTCAACAAAATATCACCAATTTCGCATATCACATCCATTCCTTATATATTCAGACTTCTCAAAATATAAATAAATTTCGCTAGAGTAACTTTCACCGCGCTACAAGACTGTTGTTCCTCTGTCCATAAAGTTTTAAAGTGCATGGCAATTGTAAAGGTCTTTTGTAGAAAAAATTACATCAATTACTTACCAAATATATAATGTTTTTCTCTGGACTTTTCTTATTTTCATACATATTTTATTCTTCTTGAAATATTTGGATATCATCGGTTTCAGCTTTCTGGCTACACTTTGGTTTTCGAATTTGCAATTTTTTATACAATGCGATAAATTATATTTATTTAGAAATATTTATTAAATTTATAAGTTACAAACAAATCATTAATATTACAATATAAAAACATAATAGACGTTCCACACTTTCTTGGTACTCCTAATTTTGAAATGCACTGATAAAATATTTCCGACATGTTTGGACAAACGTCATCTTCGATACATAAAACAAAAGAAAATATTTTTAATGGTCAAAAAATTGGAGCGGTATTTTTCACTCGTATACTTGGCCCTATGAAAATAATATACGTAATATTATATCAATAATATTTATTTTATGATAATTTCTTGAGAAATTTCCCCAGTATAATGGAAATAAATCAAAACAACCATTTGATTTGATAAAACATATTACATAAACAGGAGTGTGTATACCGAAATTGCTTACTACAGTACCGAAAGTTTCCTGAAACTTGAAATCAGCTGGCATATCAAGGTTGGAAGTATTTAGTTGCGAAGCGCAGGAAAGTTTGTATATTAGTTATTGAAATGTCCGCCTGTGCGAAAAGATTGACGGTGAAACTTGAGACAAGAAGACTATGAAAAACTTTCCCAGAAATTTTTAATCAAAATCCTGGAAAATTTCGAATTAAAGATAAAGTAAAGTAGGTGTCTGTATTTATTACGCGGACGGAGAATTTTCAGCGTGACAACGTCTTTTTTAATTATTAATTAAATTACATTTTATAAAATTTTTATTTAGTATTTATTTTGTACTTAAGCACACTGGAAAAAAGATTTAGGGTCAGTTGGGGTAAATGGGGACAAAATCGCTATTTTTCACGAATTACGTAAATTTCTTTCTTTAAAAGGTAATATTTGCGGGTTTATTTTTTTAACTTATTGTTATTTACGTTCCCAGGATTAATTTTATGCAGCCAAAAAAAATTAAGATAAGCTTTAAATTTCTAAGAAAGTTTTTAGAAAAAAGTTTCTTTAAGTGTATTACTGTATTAAGGGATGAAAAAACTTGAAAAAAAATTTGTAGTAGATATATAATAGTTGAGCCAATTGAAATTTTTTTATTTTTTCAGTATTTTGTCTCGCATTTGAAAAAAAAAACAGATTTAAAAATTATACCAAATTTTTTTCTTATTCCTTATGACTCCCATAAGAGAAATTCACTTGAATTTTTCATTTTTGTTAATTTGGTTAATAATGACAAGCTGTCCCCATTTACCCCAAAAATTTGAAAACTCTGGGTAAATGGGGACAGCTTGTCATTATTAACCAAATTGATAAAAATCAAAATTTCAAGTGAATTTCTGTTATAGGAGTCATAAAAAATAAGAAAAAAATTTTGTATGATTTTTAAGTCTGTTTTCTTTGAAATGCTCGACAAAATACTGAAACAGTTTGACTTTGATTTTCAAGTTTTTATGCATTGAGCGATAACTTTTTTTATCTTGCTGCCAATTGTCAAGATAAAAGCTTGGCAATACTCAAAACCTTTTGCAGGTGATCTGAGGTTAAAATATTGACATTGAACTTAATTTTAAAACTGTAAATTAAGCTTCAAAACCTTTTGTCCCCATTTACCCCAACTGACCCTATTTGATTCAAATACTACTTGATTCCTTGACTATTATCAAATAAATATTTACTTGAACCAAATAAGTTTTATTTGCGAATTAAATAAATTGTATTTGAACCAATGATTTTTGTATTTGAAACAAATATCATTTAATTGACTCAAATAATAATTATTTGATAAAAATCAAGTAACCGATTATTTGAATCATATAAATTTTTTTCAGTGCATAATATTAGAACTGACAATAATTTCTGTTTTGTCCGCACATTTATTTTAACGCGCGGTTCTGAATTAATTAATTGTTTATTCTTAATTATCGGAAGGTATATATTTAGTACTCGATTTAGTAAAAAAACAAGTTGACATTTTACTTTAATTATATGTATAATTTCATATTAAAACGTACAAGTGTTAGAGTGTTCAGTGTAATATTGTGATCAATATATATTTAAAGATAAGTTACAAATTTGTGCTTCAGTCTCGACGTTCGACAGATTTCTGAATAATTTTCAAAACTGAAGATTTGCGTTGAGAAAGACAAATATGAGAGCAAGTATCGACGGACTCTCATTGTTTTCAAACAGTGATCCTAATCCTGAGGATTAAGGCGATCTGTATTACATTTTAAATAGCTTTTTCTAAATTACACCCGTAAATTTAGAAGAGCGAATTTATGATTACAAGAAAAATTTAAGAACCTAAGAATATTACTAAATCCGGATAATGATCGATATTTAATTCCTTTGAAACTGAAAATAACGGATAATCTTAGTTTATCTTAGTATTGTAAATGAGATGTTGTGTTCGTTTCAATTTTCGATTGTAGGTGATTGTAAAAATTGTTATTCTGTCGCTTAAGTATGCCTTATTATTACAAGGATTCTTGAGAAATAATAAAATATAATAAAGTTGTGTGCGACACAACAGTTTCCGAACAATTAAATTTAAAAAATTTCGAACAAAATGCCAGTGTTATTACCAATTGCTAAAATTTTGCACCGGAATAATATCAAAACATAAATTCAATCATGGATTTACTCTTGTTTAAGAATTGTTGTCGGTTACCTATAAGTTTTTACATCGTACGGCAGTATAGTGTATACTGTTAACAGTTTGCTCTGTACTAACATGTTAAATCTTTAGCCGGTCAGTAATATAAAAAGCTATAAAAAATTGCATTTCCAAATTTGAAAAAAATAAGTGTGGCATCGAGATTAGATCGAAAGTAATCGAATTACACAAAAATATTGAAAATATGACTTATAGTTTTTGATTTCTGGCCTTCGATATGAACGCAATTTTTCTGACTGACTCCCTAGACCTCGGAGTAAGACGTTGTCACGTCAAAATTTTAATTTGTTTTTAACTGTGATGTCCTTAAGATATCCGTAATGGATATCTGTTGGATATCTGTGGGATATATTTGGGATATTTAAAAAAATGTATTGAAAATAATTTATAATTAATCAAGAATAGATTATAAATATAAATAAATAATAGAAACATTTAATTTGAAACGATCACATAGTAGAATAAACAGTACAAAGTGCGAAAATATTGTATGTAACTACATTTTTATACGAAAATGAAATAAAAACTTTATTTTGTGTTTTTATAGAAAATTATGTTTTAAAATTAGCATAATTCTAAAAATGCATAAATTTTGAGGTTATGTTTATGTCACATTAATATTATTTCTTACATTAATAAGAAAATTTACTAAATGCACTAATGTGTTTTATTTTAATAAAATATTCACAAGTCACTGGTTTTGCAGTAGCACTGAGAACACATAACAATTCTCCCTTCAACAATATCAAATTTGTCTTAAAGTTAAAAAATTTTAAATAAACACTTTTTAAGTTGTTCAAAATTAAAAGTCCACTTAATAAATTCAATAACACAGTTTACTTACCCTTATACGTACATGCTATATATCAAATAAATTTTCCACTTATCAATAATTGCAACTAAACTAAAATATGAACATTGACATTTGTGGTTTTGACGAATTTTTGAGGTTAATTGATTGAAAAGAAAATTAAATCATCAAAAAACATAATTTAGGTTAAATGCACGCACAAATTTATTATTTTATAGTGTAGAATTCTTATTTCTCTCAAACTTAGTTTGTAGCAAACGTTAATTATTATGATTTTCGATTTAATATAAAATATTTAACCTCTAATATCCCAAGATATCTTAGGGACGTTAATGGGATATCAAACTCATTACTCTTAAGATATCCATCAGATGTCTATCAATATCTGAGAAATATCCATAGATATCCCTTGAACATCCTCAAGATATCAAAAGTTCCCTCCCTTGAGATATTTCGTGTAATACTCATAGGATATCCCAGATGTTTCGGGATCTGAACGGGACGTCATTTGGATATCCAAACAATATCATGTGCTGTACGGGTTGACACTAGGTTATTCATATTAATTTTTGCAGATAATAGACACTTAATGATTCGACGAATGTTTTGTAAATTTGCATTACTTAAATGAAATCAACTTTAATGACGAGAGAGTTTGTTCCAAAGGATATGTTTGGAATGAAAATAACTGAAAAATCTTGTCATTATTATTATTCCTCTATCACAACATAACATTGGCATATACTGTTTTTTGAGCGTTTTGTCATATGAGACGATAGTGCACTGTAAAAAGAGGTGTCTTAGACATAAAAAGTGTCTCAAAATAAGACACTTTTTTACAGTATTGATGAATATAAATTACAGCCGAAGGTAATTTAATTCAGCTTGAAATTCATCTTCAGTTATATAATTATACTCTTAGTACCTATTAATAACACTGATTATTGATATTATATTATTTTATTCGCTTATAAATATATCACATTTGAAATGCGATCATATACTAAAGAACAAATATCAATCTATTACTAAAAGTTTCTCTCCAGTGAAGCGCAACATTATATTGCCTATATATATACATTTAGAATAAAGGCCAAATAGACCAGAGATATTCAATAATTGACATTATTTAGTGCGTGTCATCTGGTTTCGGTTTTAGTTTATTTTAATTACTTTCTCATTGAAGAAGACGAAGCTGCGGTGTTGTGCCAAAATTAACTAATCAATCTGTTAAAAGATGCACTTTTTAGATTTAAAATAAAATTTTGAACACGTACACTTTATTTGTAGAAATAATCAGAAACTTTTATACGCTAATTATATTTTACAATAGATTAACAGTATATGTGATTTGGGAAATATGTGATATTTGTTGAATTAATTTTTATAAAATGCTTGGAAATTGTCTGGAAGTTTGATGTTACATTTAAAAAAAGCTGAGATAATAAATTCACGAGTGGTGAATCAGTGTTCCTATGGGGGATCAGGAGCGATAAAAAGGGTTAAATGTGCTATTTTTTTATTTTTCTTTTACTTCTTATGTTTAAAGAAATTCCTTAAAACTTAGGAAGTAAAAAAATTTATGAAATAGCACACTTTGGGATCTTTTTATTGCTGGTAATTCACCATTGGAGCAGTTATATCCATCACTGGTACTTTTACCAGATTTTACTAAGCTGTCTAGTACACGGAAAAACTTTGTGCAAGAATCATTTCTAAATTTGTTCAGGAACTGAGGATATGAGAATAATTAAAGAAATCTTATTTATATTTTCTTTGAAAAATTCTTAGCAGTATTTCTATAAGAATTGTAGAGAAATTCAAGACAACTTCCTAAACTCACTACAGAAAGTCTTGAACTTGTTTTAGAATAAATTTTTACGTTTGCCTGAAAAAAAATTTACTCTGGGAGGACTCGATCCCACGTCCTCGAGAGTCCAAAAACTGCGCTTTACATCTCTCAGCTACCTTAGCAGCTTATGGTATTATGCATTGGAAACATATTTGACGCAACCATAGGGTTGTAAAGTTTCATGAAATTTTCGTTGAATGAAAGTTTCATGAAAGTTTCAATGCTTCATGAAACGTTTCAAAGTTTCAAAGAAAGAGGCGGGAATATTTAAATTATATATAATAAATCCTTATTAATAATAATATTAATTAATTTAACGACTGGAAATAATAATGTTTTAAAACGGATTTTTTGGTCATATTTGATTTATTACTATATTAGAATTTTGTCTCCGTTTCGAACTGGAATCTGTTCATTTTCAAAGCTATAAACATTTCATACAAAATACGACATTAAATAATTTTTCAATCAAAACAGTTTAAATAAATATAATAAATATCTCTCTCGATAATCATAATACATAAAAATAGCATACAAACGATTACTCGAAAATTAAAACAGATATTTATTATATTTAAATTGTTTTAATTGAAAAATTATTTAATGTGATATTTTGTTTAAATTTTTAGCCCTGAAGATGAACTGGTTTCAGTTCGAAACATAGGCAAAATTATGATATAATAATAAAATGTAAAACATTTTATTATTATAATTAACTTTTCACAAGTTTATTTTTTGACCTAACCTAAAATATTTATTACGTTATTGCGCATGTGCACATGAAGGCTTACTATTGGTTCTCCAATGTTTCATGAAACTAATGAAATTTTCGTCCATGAAAGATTGAAACTTTCAAATGAAAGTTTCAATCTTTCAATGAAACGTTTCACGACTCACAACCCTACCCAACCAATCCCTGCCTAGTGCTTGGTTACTGTACTATGTCTTCTAAAACAGTTCAAGAAACTTTCAACACCCATAGTGACAGTGAGATATTCCGATCGCGGCATTAACAAGAAGTCTTCCAATGTCATAATAAAAATACAAGTATTTTCTTGAATGATTTTTGTATTTTTCTGTAAATTTTGCAGAATTTTTCTCATATCCTCAGTTCCTGAACAAATTTAGGAATGATTCTTGAACAAAGTTTTTCCGTGTACAATAAGTCCTTAACTGAATTTAAAAAGTTGTATTGATTATCAGAAAGTATGCGATATGAGGATAAACTATATCATGTCAAAATATCCTGAGGATATCCTTTTGTTGTGAGGGTTATTAGGAATTATAAGATTTTTTCAAAAATAGGTCGCAACGACTTTGGGTGTAATATAATATATGGATTGAGCCTATGACAAGTTTTATATGCTTCATTTTAAAAAAGAATTTCAAAAAAGTTATAATAATTCACAGGTTAAAGTAAAAACTTTTTTTCTAGAGGAGTGGAACGAAAGTTTTCCGTATCATTTACTGATAGGAGCCGGAGTAGCATTAATGGCACTTGTCTTACTAGCAGCAGTGAGCATTCAGTGCTCCTCAACATGGCGATGGCTCCTAGGAGTAACAAGACAAGATAATCAGGAAAGTAATAACAGTGACGTTTCCCAACAAAATGCAATTCGTATTAGTCACTCCTTACCTGATCTTCAATCGGATCCAATAACTCATGAATATGTTCAGGAGCAAAAAGAAAGTAAAAAGGTATATAATAATTCAACTTGATTTGATAATAAAAATTTCTAAATCTTCACGAATTAAATTTTATTTTAAAAAACCTAGAACTTAGTCGAGGGGGAATTTACTCTGGAAGTCAAGTGTACACTTGCCTGGTAATACTCGGTAATACCTGTAATATCTGTAATATTTTGTAAAGTCTTGTAATAATAAGTATTATTGTGTAATATCATGTAATACTTGTAATATTGTGGTTTTATGGTGTAATACCTCAAAAAATTTAAAGAAAATCAAACCAAAAAAATGTTAATAAAAGTAAAAATTTTTAACACTTATTCAAATGTAGCGCGGGAGTTGATGCTGAAGTATAATGGCGCACTCACACCTTTTTTGGCTGCCTGCCTGCCTGCAGGTTACCATGGCAACGCACGAGTGTGAGTGAGACAGAAAATTTGAATATTCAAATTTTTAAATTTTTTGTCGCACTCACTCTCATGCGTTGCCATGGTAACCTGCAGGCAGACAAAAAGGTGTGAGAGCGCCTTAACAACTTTGCCATAGGTGGCTGTATCAAATGTTTACAGAATCAAATCAGAAGATAGTTCTTTAGTAATTTGCCGCAAAAAACCAAATATTAAACTTTATAAACATGGATGCTCACGGATATTATAATATAGAAAATTATATTTGTTTAGTTTCTCGTCCAAAGTTAAAAACAAATAAGTTATATTTATCGTGTTCTTTAAAAGAAATTTCAAAACATTTGAAATAGGGTCAGCTGGGGTAAATCCGAACGGGGGGTAAATCCGAACGCTAATTATTTCAACTTAATTAAAATTTTTAAAAATAAGTTCGATATGAGAATTTATACCTCAGATCCTCTTGAAGAGATTCTAAGTATTATCCCATTTTTCGTTTGTTAATTAGCAACAGCATAAACAAAGATAACGAGTATTGCAAAAAAGATTGAAAATCAAAGTTGACACTCTTTCAGTATTTTGTCTCGTATTTGAAGAAAAAGAAGCTAAAAATTCATTTTATTATTTATAATTGTTTGTTATGAATACTAGAACAGAAACTATTTTTGATTTTTGCCTTCTGTAAAATTTTATTAATAATATCAGACCGTTCGTATTTACCCAGGAAAATTGGAAAACCGGGGTAAATCCGAACGGTATTTTCAATAATTTTTTTTTACATCAGAGCCACACAAAATTGTTTTTATTTCATTACACTATTATTTTAACATTATAAAAGTACATAGAAAAAAGTTTTTCTTTCTATACGTATCCTCGTTAGTAATTAATAAGCAGAAACTTAATCTCTGTTCTCTCGAAGGAGTGTTTCAATTTTTTTGCCAAATGGTTTGTTGAAAAAAGTTTTTCAGGATCTTAATAAAATTTGGTATTCTACGGTTTTTGGGGTCGCTGATTACCAATTTGAAGCCAGTTTTTCAAAATTCAAAATGGCGGACGAGAATTAAAAAATTCATTGGATTCGCTCGAAAATTGTTACTCGGGGGGTTTCAGGGTCGCTGATTACGAATTTTTGATCATTTTTAAAAATAAGTTTTAGGAAAGTCCGACATTTTGATTTTAAAAAATTTCACTTTTATTTTTGTATTTACATTCAATCACTCCAAAATACTTTCTGTAGCAAGTTTTGCAAAAATCCGTTATGATTTGATAAAGTAATTGAAGGTTTTAATTGTGTAATGCATTTTAATTTTTAACCTGTTTGATTTTTGTATTTATATATGATGCATTATTACATAATAGGTTTATTATCGTATTTTTTTTGAGTTTTTATATAAGTTTAACAATTGCAATACTTTAAATTTATTTTCCCTAAGATTTTTCTGAAATACAGTGGCATTCGTATTTACCCCTGTATTTTAGAAAAGTTTCAAAGTATCGAGGTAAATACGAACGCTAAGTTTCCTGCGATTGTAATTTATCAAAAATTTTTGCTACCCCATAAAATTGTTCTATGGAAGTAAAGTAACAACTTCATGCACCAGAATACCGGAAGTATTTTTTTTTTAAAGAAAAAACTTATGTTATTGTTGAAACTTACTAAAAGCGTTCGGATTTACCCCGGTTGACCCTAATATTGTTATCTACGTTTTAAAAAAGAGAAATTTATTATATTTTCTTTTATAAGTAGGGTAAATGCACTAATTGCGGCGCGATTCGAGTCAAAACACCTATGAAATAGAAAATTCGACATTTCTATTGTATAAACTCAATTTAAGACTTATTAAACTAAAAGGTTATGTTATTTAGATGTTAAAAAAATGTTTAACTTTATAAAAATCGATAATTTAAACAAATAGAGCTAATGGAAATATTAAAAATGTTTCAATTGCGGCGAGGGAAAAAATTTGATCTCAAATAATTTAATTAATAATTGTTTAAATGTGCTTCTTCAGTAGTAATTGTATCAAAAAAAGATTAAAATAATTTTTTTTAATCATTTTGCAACAGTTATATTAAATATAATAGTAATAATAGTTATTTTTTATGAACACGCCGTAATTGTCAATTGATGCACTTACCCTAATATTTAAAAATATTTAATTATTTGTTTCTCTATTTCTTATTTTAAAGTTTTGTTCTTAAATAATAATTTTATTGAAAGTTCTATGTATAAGAAAGTGCTATTTGACATTTAATATTTTTTGTAATAAAGGGTAATACTCAGTAATATATGTGTAATACTTTGTAATACAGTAATATTTTGGTAGTAGTATGTAATACTTGTAGTGTAGTTGTAGTCAAGTGTACACAATTTTTACTAGTAAATTCCCTCTCGAACTTAGTAAATTAAAAAAAATCCAGTCTGTTTCTAAATTTTTTTTAATAAATTCTGTTTAAAATGAGTACCTATATTTTTCTATAAAAAGAGAGTTTTTTCCCAATAAAAAAAGGTATAGATTACTATTTTTCTTCACTTTTCTACATTAAATAATCTTTTATCTTTGAGGTACTGCGTCAAACAACATTACCAATTGTACCTATGAGGCATCAAAGTTTCCAAAGACAACTTTCCCATCGTCTTGATCTTCCAAATATCAAATTCAGTATCTGTAGTCTTGAAAATCGTAGTGATTCAAGTCTGGGTCTTATCAAGGTGTGTTTATGTGTACTTTTTCTTTTTTATGTATATATATAATATATTTATATATATGTCGTAGCATCTTTGTAAAAAGTTGCATTTCATGAAATGTCTAGACGTTTCATGAAGTGCAGCCACATTGTGAAAAAAATTTTCACTTCACAATGTGTCCAAAATTTTTGGACATTTCATGAAATGCTACAGCCAATTATGCACTTTGTGAATCGAAATAAAATTTCACAATACGTCCAAATATAAAATATATTTCAAGAAATAGCCAAGTCATTTAATGCTGATAATGAAGAAATCGTATTAACAGTTAATTTCATATTATTATTTCCACGGTAAGTCTATTCTCTAATAAAAATCAATTACAGTCATTCATTAGTCACACTGCAAAAAGAAGATACTAAAACAGTACCGATTTTAGGTATCAAAATAGAACCAAATAACAATTTAGTACCTAAAGTCGGTATTAAATTAATACCTTTCGTTTTACAGTGCATCAATATCTGCTAATGTAGTGTCGTTAGTACATTTTGTTACCTAAAACATTACAATTCGAGAGTGTGTAAAATGTCATGTCTCGAATTTTTCTCAAAATTCGGTAAATTGTAGAGATAGTGGTGCTAAATAAGTGTACAAATTTTGAATTTGAAATTTTTAATATTTTTCAAGATATTTACAATAACAAATTTAAGAAATATTTTTTTAATTTACTTATAACTTTTTTCCTACTGAAAATAGAGGATGTTACGGACGGAATTCTGTAAATTTTTAATTTTTTTCTGTATTATTATTTAATTAATATTATTTATTAAAAATAGTATTTTTTAATATATATATATATATATATTACAGCCAGAGTTATATAAAAAGGATTTAACAAGACAAGAAAGCAATGAAAGTTCTAGCACGACAGACATGGAATATGCAGGAAAGTTACATTTCGCATTACGCTATGATCAAGAAATTGAGGGACTTGTGGTCAAAGTAAGTTCTTATTCTATTGGATTATTCATTTCTTTAAAGTATTAGATGTATCAGCTATCAAAAATTGCTATCTATATAATAGCAATGGGATTTAGCTAAAGTAGCTAAATATTAGAAAGAGAGATAGATAGACTGCTATCTCTCTTGCACTAATGCTTTTCTTGAACTTGCAATACAGATTGAATTGTTGGTGAATCACCTTGTCACGATATATAATGACAACTAACTTGACAACAGAGATTCTCGTTATTTGTTTTGACTTTTTTAAAAATTGTATAAAAGTTAGATATTTAGCTTGCAAATATATAAGTGTCTGTACAAGATTACTGCAGTTAGGTGGACAGAAAAAGATTATAAAAATTTATTATTCAGGCTAACTTTTACAGAAAGGCACAAAATTACTTGGTACAGATTAGTAAAATCCAAACCTAACCATAACTCTTTGTTTAGTTCCTTGGACGATTATAAATGACACTAAGTAATTAGTAATGTTTTCGCAAAATTTTCTACAGAGTATTTACATCATTGGCTGACGTAAAAGAATTTTTTAATATTGATATTCTTATGATTTTTAAAGTATCCTAATATTATTTTATTGAGAAAAAATCACAATACTGCTTGCGTTTTTCTAAGTTGAAATTAATTAAAATGTATTTAAGAATTTACTATGGTTAAAAATCAATTAAATCCCTACTGCAAAAAGCCACATGGAATTCCACATGAAAACCTACATTGGATTCCGTGAGGGAATCCATGAAGGTTCCCATATAATCCCATATTGCTAAGCAATATTTATTAAATATTTTTAGGCAATACTAACGAAATATTGCCAAGCAATATTCTTTCAGGGCGGATATAATGAATGTTGCAGCAATATTACCTAAATATTGGCAATATAAACACAATATTGTGGCATATTGAAAGGAAGCTTTGTAGTCCTTTCGTTTTAAAAATTTTTAAAAATGGTGAAAACAAATTTTCCTTCATATAGAAACATGTTATATGAGATCCTGATCAATTGTCCGGATGTATGTATGTATGTATGTATGTATGTATGTATGTATGTATGTGTGTGTGTGGATCGTTTTTGTGAACACGATATCTTTAACAGGTTTTAATGGATTTAAGTAAAATTTAATAGGCTTATTTATAACATTAATCTTTCAAAAATGACGAGAGGATTTTTAAAAATACTCCCCAAAAAAAATTTTATCGTCTTTTTTCCAAAATTTTTTTTTTAAATGAAAAAATTTTTTAATAGTAAAATTTAAGGTAATATATAATATAATCGTCTTCTTTACGTCAAGAAGAATCGATTAGTATATATAAAGTATAAATTTGATGGAAATTTAAAGAATTAATGAAAGTTAAAAAATAAAAAATTCACATTTTAGCTAAAAAATGTTGTGTTTATTAAAATTCAAGTTTATATATGAAATAATTTTATTCCCTGCATTAAAACGAATCGATTGGTATATAGAAAGTACAGATTTGATTTAAATTTAAAGAATTAATAAAAATTGAAAAATCATATTTTAGCTACAAAATTTTGTGTTTTTTTAAATTCAAGTTAATACATAAAATATTTGAATTCCTTGCATTGAAACGAATCGATTCGTATATATAAAGTATATGTTACACCCAAAATTAATTATAATTTTCTTAATTTTTAAAAAAATTTAATGAATTTAAATCAGTTGTTAACTCGAAATGTTTTAAATCAATTAATTGAATTAGAGAAATTCATAGCTTCCTCCACAAGACAGCAAATTTTTTGCTTCCTGATGCGTTTTTTTCGATTAGTAAAATATTACTTCAACATAGTTTAAAATGTGTATTTATTTTTATGTTAGGTGTTGGAAGCTAGAGAGTTACCAGTGAAGGATGTGTCTGGAAGTAGCGACCCTTATGTTAAAGTTTATCTTTTACCAGATAGAAAGAAGAAGTTTCAGACTAAAGTTCACAGAAAAAACTTAAATCCAATATTTAATGAGACATTTATTTTCAGGTAAGATGAGAAAATTGAATCGCATAAAAATTTGTACATTTAGAGTGCAGTAATAGTCAGGAAAAGACAGGGAATTCAGTCTAAAGTTAGGGATTTTTCCCGTTTCTGCTTTCAATGTTTTTGAAAACTACGAATGTTTAATAACCGTTAAATTTACCAAAGTATGTTTTGAATTAATTTTTTTTATTTGTAATCAAAAATGAATATTACAATTAAGAATAATGTCAATCAACAATGCAAAACAACAACTCGTAATTTGTTAACATATAAATTTTAGTAATTAACAATTGACTAAATAAAAAATAGTGTAATTTTGCCGTCCTGATTTAAAAATACACTATCTACATTTGTCGCTTCAGCTCACTTTTGTGTGTTGATACTACTAAATAACGACCTAAGCGACAAATGTAGATAGTGTCTTTTTAAATCAGGACGGCAGAATTTATATAAACATAAATTATTTCTTAACTTAATTGCAGTGTACCATATGAAGATTTAAGAGAACGGTATCTGCAATTTTCAGTTTATGATTTTGATAGATTTTCTCGTCATGACTTGATTGGACAAGTAGTGCTTAAAGGTCTATTAGACTGCACTGATCTTGAACAAGAAATTGAATATACAATGGAAATTTTATGCGCAATGCAGGTAAACTATAACATTAATTCTTAACATTAGGAATAGATCTCTCTATTTTAAATTTAAAAATTTTTTATTTATAAAAGACAGCAATAACAATAAACAAAAAAAATCAGTACGAGAAGCAGGCGCAAAGCGCGTACATTACAGGGTTTCGTAGCTTCTAATGGGTCATTTCAATATTTACGATCATTTTAAAAAAAATTTAGTCTTAAGCCTTTTGCTTAAGCAGACTTAAGACTGAAGCATAATAATTAATAATTATGTTTAAGACTTAAGGTATAAGCATAAGTCTTGTGCTTAACTCTTATGTCTTAAGTCTTAAGTCTTTTGCTTAAGTCTTATGTCTTAAGTCTTATGATTAAATCCTATGCTTAAGTCTTAAGTATAAGACATAAGACTTAAGAACTGCGGACGGACGTCCGAGTCTCTCGGGCCTGGACCACGAAACCCTAAAAACGAGAATTTATTAATGATTAAAAATTTCTAAAGTGGCTCCACTATTTGTAAACATGTTATAAAATTTGAAAATAACAAAAAATAAAATCCAAAGCACACAAAGTTGCAGAAAGTCATTATAATATTTTCCTGAGTTAATTTAATTTCCCCATCAACACTTTACTTCCTCGTAGAGATTACAATTTTTGAATTAAAAACTAAAAAGTTTAGTTTTTAAAACATTTGATTTTTGAAACTTGAATAAATTCTTTATATTTCATTGTGAAAAGTTTGCATAATGGTCAATCGATGGGTTTTTAAAGATTCTTTAAGATAGTCATGATATAGTTTTAGGAAATACCCGAATACCGTATGAAGAACACTATTTCATTGAAACTTTAAAAATATTTATACCTTACTGTTAAATTGCAAATTTTAAATGTTTATGCTAAGCATTGTGGAAATAATTAGATAGTCTCTACATCTAAATATACTTTAGTTTTTTAATAACAAAACAGTCAAAAATTATTTTGACTGTTTTAAAATATGAATTCTGATTATGAATAAACATGAATTAATGCTTTTGAAATAACAAATAAATATGTTTGGTTATATAATAACGGAAAAACTTTTCCATTGGCAAGCGTAATAGTTCGGTTGAAACTATTTGTCATTTGTTTCCAATAACCGAATTTTTTTTAACCAAACCCAGTTCGGTCAATTACAACACGAACCATTTGTTTGCTTGAATACATCACTCCATATACCATTAAATTTAATTCAATTTTCAAATTGTCCAAAACGCTCTCGGCAAAACCCGAAACGCCTAGGCAATTTGGAAAAGTCTATGAATCTCTAGGAAATCCCGAAATTCCTAGGCAATTCGGGTTTTGCCGGTAACATATGCATGTTTAAGAAACGGGCCACAACTTTAGATAAATTTTCATTCTGATTTTTCTTAATTAATGACATCAACTTACTCTTTCTATTTTAACATTTTACTAGGAAAAAGTTGACTTGGGTGAATTAATGTTGACATTATGCTATTTACCCACTGCTGGACGTTTAACATTAACTGTCATTAAAGCTAGAAATTTAAAAGCAATGGATATAACAGGATCATCAGGTCAGAAAACAATAATACCATTGACTTTAAATTGGTAGAAAAGTGAAAAGTGCAGTAAATAATAATAAAATTATTCATAAAAAGATGTTTCCAAATTGTTTGGCCTATTGGCTAATGCAAACATGTTTAAATAAATGAAAATGTTATTTTCGGAATAATAATAATAATTTTCAGTATATCCTTTTTTCAGATCCATATGTAAAGGTATACCTTCTTTGTCAAGGAAAAAGGATAAAAAAGAAAAAAACTAGTGTCAAAAAGAATTGCTTATGTCCCGTTTACAATGAGGCTCTCGTTTTTGATGTACCAGCTGAAAACATTGAAGATGTCAGTCTTATTATAAAAGTAATCGATTATGACAGGTAGTGTAGAAGAAATATTGAATCACTCTTTTTTTACCATTTAAGATAAATAATTCACAATTTTCAAAAGTTAATTGCTTTTCTGTTTTACAAATAAAAAACAAAATTTTGAAGAATTTTAAAAAGACGTCTTTTGGCCTTTTTAAAGATATAGTGTTCTATCTAGTACCAAAAGAGAAGCAGGTTTTGTTTACTTCTGTCTTCTCTTCAGTGATTAATAATTACAACTATTTTCAAATATTTTCATTTATTTTTATAATGTTATTAACATTAAATAGGTGTTGTTTTGTTTCGACTACCGTAAAGTCAAAATATAATTCGTATTTTTCTCATTTTATAGAATTGGATCAAATGAATTGATGGGCTGTACAGCTATTGGATCAAGTTTTATTGGCGTTGGTCGAGATCATTGGCTGGAAATGTTAGACAATCCCAGAAAACCAGTGGCTCAATGGTATCCACTAATGGAAACAGTTGCAGGTCATATTCCTGCTGTATCATCTGAACCTTTACCAGTCAGTTTAAGCTGCTTGAATAGCAGGTGAGTGGTCGCTAATTATTTTTAAGATATAATGTATAAATTAAAATTGGGTGAGTCGTATGTATATACTATAGTTATGAAAAAGGTGTGTGTATGTGTTCACAAAAAAAAATATTCTGCGCATCAGACATAAATTCCAATTTCTTATTAGATGTATTTTGATGCATTTTGATATTATTATCTACTATCATGTTAGCATTTTTTCCTGCGACTTGAAAAAATATGGCGAATTTTATATATGATAGTATGTCACATACATGGATGATTATTACTACATAAGAGAATAAATAATACCGTTTGGTTGAAATTTTTTTAAACGAAATTCTGCATTAAAATACTCATTTTTGTTAAGTTATTTAACATTGGCCTTTTTTTCTAGATGAAGAAAACATGCGAAATTTCACCTGCTGGACGATTGCGCAATAGACGTCCCTCTTTGTTAAAATCTCGTGGAAAATTATTACTCTGACAAGAGTGTGATGCCAAATAATGTCTACGTCTGCATTGTTCTACATGAGTACACACATTCTGGAATTATAACTCTGAATTCTTTTCTTGCAAAAAAAATGGTATCAAACCTAAAATTAAGTTACAATATGAAATCGAGTTATCACCTGCACTATGTAATAGAAGTCTGAAGGTGAACATTAAAAATTTTTATACTTCGCAGAAGAAAGAATTCACCAAATATTACTGTGATATCATTCTCTTTAAATCTTAATTATAGTCAAACCAATTAATTGTCATTTGAAAACAACTTTATCATTGTTAAGACATTCGTTAATTTTTAGTTGAATCGAATGAATTTCATAACAAAATAGCACTGATTAACATTTCAAGTACTGCTTTAACCCTTAAAGCGTACGCTCTCTGGGAATGTCATAAATCGCACACATGGGTATTTGACACCCATCTTTAAAGTGTATTCTATAAGCTGAAATTGGAAATTATTTTTCATCAGAATTACCGATGGTAGTTCAATATATCTATTTTGAAGGAAAATAGTAGATGAAAAGTTACATTTGTAAAAAAAATGAAACATCGTAATTCTTATTATAAAATTAATTTCTTAGTACAGAGACGTATTCGAAATACATGGTTTAGGACCGTAAGGTTGATAATATTTACATTGAAAATTGAACAAAAAACAGTAACGCGATTGACACAAATATGTTCCAAAATCACTTTTACAATCTTTAACCGTATACTACTGTATATCTGCATTCCACTTCGAGCGATTTTACCAAACACAAACTGACACTTGGATGACTAATGTCACATAATGGATACTTGACCAATATTGCGATTCAATTTTCAGGAATTAAAACGTGATATTAGAATGCAAAGGTTGAGAATATAGGTGTCAAACACCCATAAGCACTTTAACGGTTAAGATTAAAAGTTAATTTGTTCTCACTGATTTTAAATATATACTTTACATTATAATTGTTTGAAATGGAGCTTAAACAATGTACCCAGGAAAAAGGCAAGCAGAAGTGATAAATTGTATTCGAGAGTGTTACATGTCATAAATAGACGCCAATAACTTTGGTGCCAGTCTGTATAAAAGATAAATTATAATTGAGCTTTCCCTTCACTCATTTAAATTTCTCTTTACAGAGATTTTTGTATTTCTTCTGAATGACAATTGCCTTGAACATTTCCCTGTACAGAAAAAATGTATGTGAACTTGTAGAAGAATATGCACATAAACTTGTTCCACTTTCTTATGCTGAACATGTAAAATTTCCTGTACCACAACTGACCAGAACTGATAGGATTTATTAAATGGAATGTACTTTCGATTGATTCTGCGTTTAATTTCAGTTAGGAACACACTTTTTACTATCAATGAAAAGATTGCGTAGACAAATTAACATTCACTACCGGGAACTTTTCCACCTGGGTATGATCTGTCATAAAAATTAGCTTTTGTTTAATTTTTTATTCGAGTGTGAATAATTTACTTAATGGATTAATTTAAACAAATTCGAAATATTCCACAAAAGATATAGACACTCTTAAGATACACTCTAAATTTCAATAAATGAGAATCAGTATAACTGCCTTTTTTATTTCAATCAGGCAATATTACAGAATAGTTTATGGCCAAATTAATTAAGTGTAAAATGCAGACTGTCACTGTTATATTAAACAAAAATTGTTTACTAAAATAGTGCAATTTTGAATAGTCATAAATTTCACAGCCCCACAAAAAAAAAGTGTCGTGCGCGGCAGACCAGACTAGTCATTTCCCATGTATTTTGACGCGCTGAACACGAATCCGAAGTCCGTTTTGCTCCATCACGTCAGGATTTTTTTCTAACCTCCAAAAACCTGTCGGATTTTGAGAGGTAGGCTATTTTTTTAAAAATTGATGGATTTACTTCAAAATTGGTATCTAGGGGTTTTTTGGGTCGCTGATGAAGAATTTGAAGTAAGATTTTCAAAATTCAAAATGGCGGCTCCAATATGGCGGACGAATTTTGTAAAAATTGATGGATTTACTTCAAACTTGGTATCTAGGGGTTTTTTGGGTCGCTGATTACGAATCTAAAGTTCGATTTTCAAAATTTAAAATGGCGGCTCCAATATGGCGGACGATATCGACCCTTCAAAGGTGATAATTCCGCCCTTACACACGAAACTAGGAGCAATTAAACAGTTTGTCAAAGCCTTAGATAAAAAAGGAAACTGTTTCAAATACCTGGAACAAAAGTTTCCAGAAATCTCTGATGCGAAACTAAAAGAAGGGGTTTTCGACGGACCACGTATTCGCAAATTGTTAAAAGATGAGCAATTTATCACCAAGATGAATAAAAAGGAGAAAGCCGCATGGCTTAGTTTCAAAGCAGTTGTCGAAAATTTTCTGGGTAATCACAAGAGTGAAAATTAGGAGCAAATAGTTAGTGATATGTTTAAAAACTTTGGTAAGTTAGGATGCTTAATGAGCATAAAGTTGCATTACTTAGACTCGCATCGGGATCAATTCCCTGAAAATTTGAGAGATTACAGTGAAGAACAAGGAGAACGATTCAATCAAGATCTGAAAGATTTTGAGCGTCGTTATCAAGGAAGATGGGATGTAAATATGATGGCCAACTACTGTTGGATGCTGAAAAGGGATATTGTACCTGGAGGCACCAATTTGAAAAGAAAACCATTACACAGATCCTTTGAGGACAAAAGAGTGCGCTACCATAAAAAGACGTAAATACCTTACTTATGTATATAAGAATTTCCATTTCTAGTTTTGAAAATCTAACTTTAGATTCGTAATCAGCGACCCGAAAAACCCCTAGATACCAAGTTTGAAGTAAATCCATCAATTTTTACAAAATTTGTCCGCCATATTGGAGCCGCCATTTTAAATTTTGAAAATCTAACTTCAGATTCGTAATCAGCGACCCAAAAAACCCGTAGATATCAAGTTTGAAGTAAATCCATCAATTTTTACAAAATTCGTCCGCCATATTGGAGCCGCCATTTTAAATTTTGAAAATCTAACTTCAGATTCGTAATCAGCGACCCAAAAAACCCGTAGATATCAAGTTTGAAGTAAATCCATCAATTTTTACAAAATTTGTCCGCCATATTGGAGCCGCCATTTTGAATTTTGAAAATCTAACTTCAAATTCGTCATCAGCGACCCAAAAAACCACTAGATACCAATTTTGAAGTAAATCCATCAGTTTTTAAAAAAATAGCCTACCTCTCAAAATCCGACAGGTTTTTGGAGGTTAGAAAAAAATCCTGACGTGATGGAGCAAAACGGACTTCGGATTCGTGTTCAGCGCGTCAAAATACATGGGAAATGACTAGTCTGGTCTGCCGCGCACGACACTTTTTTTTTTGTGGGACTGTGTTTTTAAAAGATCTTGACTGATTCAAACGTTGAATGACAATTCAAAATCATTAAAATGATTCTTAAATTATAGCTTATTCTTTCATATTTCATCAACAAATATTTATAGCACCGTTGTCTCAAAAATAATGAAATTTGGCGAAAAAGTAAGATTTAGTTGAAAGATCAATTTTAAAAAATTGAATATAGTCAATAAGATGATATAAGAAAATGAGTATTGAAACATATATAAGCAAACAAACAACTCAGTAGAAAAGTAATTCAATATTACTGTAAATACATATTCATAATAAATTATATTTCGGAGGATAATGTGAGGTGAAATATTATATTGTTGTATGGACAAAGCAGGCCTCATTCAACGTAATGTGGATCTAATATATTTGACATATGTAAAACTTATTATACAGAAAGAACTATTACACATAAAGTACATATCATCTTGTATATTAGATGATATATAGTATAGATTTTGCAAAATTTTAGCTACATTATTAACAAGGAAACTATAGCTCATCAAAAATGTAGTATAACTATATATACTTACCCAAAATAAAACACGCAATTTCATGACAGAGCTTTGTCATAATTTATAAGAAATGTTTTCTTAAATACGTATAAGAAATTAAACTAGATCCCATTTAGCCAAACAAAACACAGATGTTATATATTTAACAGCCAGAATGTTACATGTTCAAAGAAATAATTATTCTAGAATCATCATCAATAAGTACACGTGATTGGAATTCTAGTAATGCAAAATGATTAAATAATAATATAAAAGCAGTTTAATGGAACATATAGGCCTTATCTTCATGATAGAGAAACGAACGTTAACAGCGAAAGTGATAGGTACAATATTTTTTGGTTGTCACATCTTAAACAATTCTAGAATTTAGGTGCGGCGAGTTTTAGAAATAAAAATGTACAGTTTGTGATAGGTAAATTTGCAATATCTTTTATTTTGGTTTTGATCCAATAAGCAGTATATATAATTTTGGCAGAATGAATCTAGATCCTTTCCATAGTTTTTTAAACAATAATAAAACACTTTATCCAGAAGACGACGATCGAAAGAAAGGTCAAAATGAATAAAAATTCATTAATTGTTTTAGTAGTCAATAAAACGTCGTTTTCTCGATTTATGAGTTTTTATTTATTGACCTTTGTTTGGACCGTTTTCTCCATCAAGTGTTTTATAATTTGAAAAATATATCATTTTCATTAAAAAACTGAAAATACACTTAAGGATTCTTATGTTTTATCAACATTTTAATAGTATAATTGCTAAAACTATATAAAAAACTGATCAATCGTAATAGGTGTTTAGAAACATAGAGGAATTTAAAGTTCCAACTGACGCTGATTAGTTTCGATATAAATAATTTTATACAGATGACTTTAAAAAATATTTATTTTACCTCTTACATTACTGATATAAGTAAAAAAATTATTTATTCGCAATTATAAGTCATCTTTTTCCACTTTGGAGCTGAACATAATATAATTATTAGTTCTTATTGCAGTTATGATTCACTATTATGAAATAAAAAGGAGAATAAGTACAAAATTGGATATTAATTTGTAAAAATTACCAATTGCCAGAGATTGACAGATATAAATATACATTTTTTATAACACCTTGCGTCAAAAACTCGACTAAATCGCTGTCTTTTAAGCGCACTAGTGCTTAAAAGGAGGAGAAATCGTACTTTTACGCACACTTTCTCCTTCCATCATAGCAATTTAGTCGAGTTTTTGACGAAAAATGTTATAAAAAATTATGTATGGGGCATGAGCGCAAATAGTGGAATCACGATTTCCCTACTTTTGCACCCTTGCCTAATAAATATAACTATTACAGTTTCTTTGACTATTGTAAAATATATATACTTGTTCGATAAATGAATGATTATAGAAGGTGTATAAGAACAATTAAATCATGTTTATACTTCTGATTAGAGAAAAGCCAATATTTTTCTTAGCGGTTCTTAGTAAATCGTGTTTCATTCGTCGTAGCTTTAATAAAAATAAATAAAATAAAATGATAAATGTAGAGTATGGCAATATGGTGTCAAATACAGAAAGCTAGAATTTGCGCCTTTAAATTTTTATTGTAAATCGACGTGGAGCAAGAATCATAAACTTATAAGGATATATCCACTTAATTATCCCAACATTTTTGTTGGAAAGTTGAATCCTCTGATTTGATATTTTTCGAATGTAATGCATATGTTGTAATTATAAATGTACGTGCGCTGTGTACCAGCATGGTACAGATTTTATCAGAGATTACAATTGTATATCTGCACTTTGCATTATGATAAAAAAATGCCAATGATTTCAAAAGACAATCTTTTTAATAGTAAAAGTAATCTTTTTTAACCAATACATTCTTATTGATTTAGCAATGACCAAGATGTACATTGAAGGCAAATTAATAAACTTTTAAGGATTAAACTATCTTGCGATTTTCAAAAAATTAATTATTTCTCTGAGGCTACACTTTTACGATTATTTTAAGATAGCGTATTCAATAATGAATATGTACACTACAATATTACAAAACAGAAAATTCTAAGATATAAAAATAAGATGCAACCCTCTTATTTCAATTCACTTTGAGCTTATTTTATTCAAATTTTGTATTAAATTAATAGTGTTGTATCTTATTTTAAGGAACAATCAGATAAACAATCGGAATAAAAGTTAGTCTGTCATTAAAAAATTTTATAACTATTATGCTTTTGACTCAATATCTTAATTGGACGTCGAAGACATTAAAAATAATTTGCAAAAGTATGACGTATTTATTATAAGTTTAAATTATTTTCTATATGCAATATCCACGTGTGAAATAAATTTTATTTTTATATCCATTGTTCGACCTTAAACAGAAGAAAACTAAATTTTAATTTCATTTAATTTTCGTTAAATAAAACTGCAACTCATCTGTACCTGTTTATATATAACATTTTCATTCCGTTTCTTATTATTTCAACAACAGAAAGATTCTTTCTGTAAGTAAATTTAAAGCCTACACATTAGGAAAATACTTTTGAATGAAAAATAATTAAAAACTCCTTTTTTATTGTATATAACTTTTCTTGATGAATACAAAAATGCAGGCATGAAATTTGTATTACTTTTCAAAGTCTTTTATCCTTATATAATATTATGTCTACATATAGTCACTTGGTGGCTATGTTTGTGATATACCATATAGAACATATAAAGTTAAGATAAATTAAGATACATTTATTTATTATAAGTGCTATAAGTACCTATTGTAATTAAGCAATGTGATTATTCTTTAATCAAAGCAGAATTTGTACATCCACACATAGAGTGATGTCAACTCAAATATTCGATTGTGAATTTGATAATAAGTTATACTATACTGTATTACAAAATACGCATTAAGAAAATTAAGGTATAAGTGCATTTATTATTGATTCTTCTAAACATTATAAATTCACTGAGTACTTAGTTTATAAACCTAAATGTTTACTCAGTTTAAAACCGCAGTGTTCTTTGTAAATGGAGGAAAAATGGAATTGGAATTCCACCACGATCTAACACAGCACTGTTTTATGTCAGCAGACACTAACACTGATTTCTAGTGAGGGAATAAAAGAAATTGGCAAATATGCTTCAATGTATACCTAATTATTAACGTTAATATTCAACTGATACTGTCAAGTACCGCAGATGCCCAATCTTTTTTAATTCTAATTAGTATTGAACTTATTTGAACAGGTCAATGTAAAAACTATATCGTCGGGTTAGTGGAAAACATACAATTTCAGAAAATTGTTTTAAAACATACCAACTCGTGAAAGCCGTATTTCGGATGACATTTATAAAATGTTCCATTTCAAAAAAGTTATTTTTTTTTGCTTCGATTTTAAGTTGGTAATACTAACCTGGAAATAAGTAAAATGCATTTTTTAAGAAAACATTTATATTATTTAATGCAACAATATAAATATCTCTATAAATCTGAATTAGTGACTATTCGCTTATTCCTATAGCGCAGAGTATGCAGCTGGGAATAAATGAATAATCACTCATTGAAAATTCGCTTATTATTATTATTATTATTATTATTATTAATATAGTCGCTAATTCAAATTTAGAGAGTAGTATATTACCAACTTAAAATCAAAGCCAAAAAAATAACTTTTTTAAAATGGTATGTTTTATGCGGCTTTCATGAATTGGTAATTGTTTTAAAACGATTTTCGGAAATGGTTTGTTTTTCCACTAACCCGACGATATACGTAAGTCATATAAGTTTGGATACATGTTAAAATGTTAAGAAAATGTATTTCGTGAAAAATCAAAAAAAAACCTCAAATTCGTTTTTACCTTAACTATATAATAAAAAAATTCAATCATAGAATATGTAAAAAAATTTTGATTTTAAAAAGGGGTCTTAAACATAAAATATAACATATATGTATATTGGTTAATTTTTCGACTCGTAAAAATCCTTGCGATATGTCCGTCGTTCGCTTTGGCATAAATACTCAAACAAAGCAATGGTGAAAACTCTATTACGATCTAGACTTCTTCGATAATTAAATGTAGATAAAACCACGATATAATTATTATCAATCCATTCAAGTCTGGTTTTAAATAAAACATCAATTTTTTAACGTTTTGAAAAGTCTCTATATTCATTTAATGCATCTACTAAGGGATTGTTTGTTCACAATACACAACTTGTTATAGGTGCACAAAAAATGTTGAAACCAGCAATTTATTCATTTGAATACATATTTGTATACATAAATTAAATTATTTTTTGAAGGGCATACATGTATGTACATTATACAAGGGTGAACTACGTTAAGAAAAGGAAAGGGCAACTGCCTATTCTAAAAATTAAATTTGGATACGCTCTTGGCATTATATAAAATTATTTTCATACGAAGTATGTAACTCAAAATTTTAAACCACATACTTTACTTTATTTTTAGTAAAAAAAATATTTAATTTCTTTTTTTGTGTTCAATTTTTAGAATGCGTATTAGTGCTAAAATGAAAACGCATTTGAAAAATTGTACTACAATATTGTTCGATATTCACAAACACAGGAGTAAAAGGAAAACTAATTACTCAACGACGGTAGATAATGATTATAGAAATAATAATAGGTATTAAGATGAAATAAAAAGAAGTTTGGTATTGCTTTTCCTAACTGATTTTTCAATTGTGTATATCGTAGCCACTTTGTGACATATATGGCATATCATCAAGTGCGACCACTTTGTGAAAGAAATATTTACTTCACAACATAAATCCACAGTTTTTGGGCATTTCATGAAATGCGACACCACATTATGCACTTAGTGTAATTGTATGAAATTACAATATGTGTGTGAGTGTGTGTAATTAATTTAACTTTTTTATGGAGTTAATTTTTTGCAGTTAATTTATCTTAAAAATGAGTTAAATTTACTTACAAAAACTGAAACAACTACTTCTTGATAGTCAATACCACTTTTTAAATTTAATTAAGGACCTATTGTATCAAATACTTTTTTCGTCACATTTCATGAAATATCAAAAAATTCTGTACTTATTTTGAAGCATATTTTTTTCATAAAGTGTCATCAGTTCAAGAAATGCCATATTTCACAAAGTTGCTACGATATATAGGTTTATACAAATATATTTATTATAATATTAAAATTTTTTTATTTAATTTCTCAGACTTAAAATATTCAACCCTAAAAATAAGTAGATATTTAACCCTTCGAGGTCACACTGGGTGGTTGCCACCCTTAGTCATTTTTAAGTGGCTTTAATTTGGAAATGGTTAATTTACAGAAATCAGCAAAATTTGTGGATACATTTCAATGCTTTAGAAATCTGTTTCCTTATGTTTTGAATAAAAATGTAAAATCCGTGTTATCGAAAAAATTTCATGAATCTTTCAAGTTTTCCAGAAAAATATCAAAAGTTGAAAATATTGATGGGTGACAACCATCCAGTGTGACCTCGAAGGGATATAAATGAAGAAATTTTCTTTTATGTTTGATTATTTTTGAATGTCAAACTCGAGATAATTTAATTATGTGTTGAATATTATTATTATTATTATTATTATTATTATTATTATTATTATTATTATTTGTAGATATATCAGTTTTTATTTCATGTATAGTACAAGTTTTAAAAATATTGTGCACTTTCCTAATGAGTACATATCTGTATATTAACTGGAGAAAGATGTAAGAATAAATATATACACATACATATATGTTTATAAGTGAACACATTTTTTAATTTAAAAAATTTACCGTTATATAATATGTATTTTGAAAAGACAGAAATCTTTATTTTTACTAAAAAATTATTATTCTCGTAAAATATTTCAGCACAAAAATCAATTTCTGAATTAAAATTTTTGCAACCCTGAAAAGGGAATATTGATATTCATAAAAGTTGCAAAATTTAGAATTTTTATTTCGAAAAGATGTGTTTGATTAAAACTTGATTTAGCTTTCTTGGAAGAATTCAAACAGCTATTTACATCTCACGAGAGGTGACAGTCGATTGCTTAGAATAATTGAATAATTCGCAAAGGAAGTCTTACCATCAATACGTGCAAAAATATTTATAAAACTATTATTGGAAATTCCAACTTTATTTTTTAGTACTTTATAAATGTAGTAAATACTAAATATTATCCCCTTTTTTACGAAAGCCTTTTTCTTATGAGTATATTCTAGTGTTCAGGATTGTTTTGGAAGCTTGTTTCAGAATTTTTTTAATTCAACTTGTTATAAAATGTGGGCAATTTTCTTAAAGTGTTTTTAATAAATTTTTTCAAAATTATTTAATTGCACACTTGTGTTTTCAATTTATCGATCCTGAGATTGAAGTAGAGTGTGGGGAAAATGTTTCTTAATAATATTCTTCGATTGTGAGAATTATTGTTTTACAAACCTGAATAAGCAGTTTTATAGGTGGATGCTGACATTAGCTTCGTTTACTGTCTCGTAATGGAATGGCAGGTTTCCCAAATATTTTCTAGAATTTCATGTTTCTCAACACTCACCTGAATTGTTGTGTCTCTGCCCTCTATCGACAATTTTCATGGCGCAACTTTTGAATTTCTATGTGTGACTGTGCCTTAAAACAAGACACAACAAAAATAACAGCTTCTTGTTTGTGCTTAGTTCAATTAAATTTAGAATTATAGAAGTTTACAAAATAATGTAATTTTATCTATGCCTATTAAATTATTTTTATTATTATTTTATTATTATTTTATTACGTAATCTTTACAGATTATTACTAGTTAGTCTAGAATACAATAATGTTAAAACGTTATAATAATCCTAAGTATAAAATAAGCATTAGAGCTTGATTAATTAGCAATGACTTATGTACTTTGTCTCTATGTATCCATTAAGTGGCGCAAATGAGGTGTATGCATATGCATGGCAATGATAATGCTCGAATTATTATTTTTGTCAATATTTCCTCACAATTAGTAATTCTTGAAAAATGAAAATTAAAGTTTCAAAAATCGACTCGCCTCATATTGAGCTTTACAAAATGACCTAATTAATGTACTAGTGCTTTATAAATGTATATTGCACTTTCAACAAGTTTCTCTCTCTCTCTCTCTCTCTCTCTCTCTCTCTCTCTCTCTCTCTCTCTCTCTCGCTCTCTTTCTAGAAATGCATCAAAGATTTTAAAAATAATACAAGAAAAATGATATTACTAGCTATTAATAATTAAGTTGCGTTCACCCTAACAATGATATCATTGTTATAAATATAAACATTAATGACGCTACTTGGTCAACGAGGGAATTCGTGAACCTCTCAAACCTTTACATACACATTATGTCGCATTTACAAGTACAATTACAGAACCGGCGATCAAAATGATGGCTCTTGACACATAAATATTAAATACGCGTACTTTGTCGAATATACAAATCTATATTTCGCACGTTAGTACAATAATTTTTCGAATATGCATCTTTGCATCTATGTACGTATATTATTAGCAACAATATATATATGACATATAATATATGCAAAGATACATGTTTTTTATTTATATAAATATATACATATGTATGTATACATATTAGCTATTTAAAATAGTAGCATTATTATTCTCAGACAGAAGTTGATAATTATATAATTTTTGGACAGAAATTGATTTGAAATAATTTCTTTTACATAGCAATATGGAGGGAATTGGCTTGTTTCGAATAATTGCAACATACTTGCTTCGCACATCTATGAACAAATATAAAAAGTTTTATTCCTTTTTTCTCTCTCTCTCTCTCACTCACTGAACGCATTTTTTTTATTACGATTTAACTCGCAATTTTTACACATAATATTGCGTACGCATATCTAATTTTCTTTTTTGAGTTTTTTTCCTTAAATAAATATTACAATCGCAAAAACTATTAATGAAACTTGTTCTTCAATATTTTATATTTCATTGCGGTTAATGTATGTCTCTCAAATGCAAGAATTGAATTTTTTTTTGGAAAACTATAATTTTAAAATTGAAATTGCAAAATTATTCATTTACTTAATTTATAATTATATTACTTATCATTTTTTCTTTTCCTTTTTTCTTCCTACATTTCACTTATATTTCGCAAATGTGGAAGCTATTATTTTGTAAAAGCATTACTAATTTATTCATCTATATCAGCTCTATTACGGTAAGTATTTTTTCCTCTACACTCTCACTAATAGTGACTGTTCTTTTAAGTAATAATAGTATGGGATGAAACGAAATTTGATTTATTCACTTCTGTAACGCAACTAAAAAATATTTTTACATAAACTAATGGTATGCGAATTTTTATTTTTAATTATATTGCATGTAAATTTCTAATTATGTGCGCTATCTAAAAGAACAGTTTCTAATAGTGTTGAGCAGAATAGATATTATTTATATTTATTACAGCCAGCAGACAAGGTGCAATTTTTATCTAAAGTCGATGTAAAATATTTTGTATAATTTATAACATAATACTTGCAAGCCGTGCCTACATATGTCGATCAAAAGTGATACGCGCAAGATGCTCGACAGTATTATTGAAATACATATGTAACGAGGACAAATAAAGTTTTAACAAAATGCCACTAATGTCACGTATATTATAAAATGACGACAAGTTAAAATAGTTTTCAATATCATTCTCGAAAGGTGTTTTAAAATAACTTCCACACTACATACTATAGGTAGTCAATAATTATTAAAAATTAAATTGAAATCATGCGGGAACTTAAATTGTCTGGTTATCTTATATTTTTTTCTCTTTCAACGAACTTTATTCCACATATCCAAAAGTAGTGAAAAAAATAAAGTAGAGAAAAATTTTAATATTACTCTTTCATTTATTTTGTTATCCTGTAACACGTTGCTTACTCTCTTAATCAACATTTGACGAGATGTCGAGTTTCTACTAATTCATCGCTTTATAAGTAAATTTTTCGTTATTAATATTAATATTAATATTATTATTATTATAAGTCTCGCATGCGAAAATACTAAGAAATATCCTCACAAAGTTAAGCTGGACGGCTTTGATAAAATTAGGATCTCTTTAAAGGACGCGAATCTTGTTTGTGTGTGTATGTGTGTGAAATTGGAAGTGCTAATCTGATTTTTTTTCTTTTCTTTAATGCAAAGTGTTGATTGGTTCATTACAACATACCCTTCAGGCTTCTCTAACAGCTGAAACCTTTCTATGAGCGGCAATAATATTGCATTGGCGCGGAACAGTGCAAATATACTTCAAAGGCATTATGATTACAATGTACAGAATACGAACGAAGATCGTATTTACATGGAATGCATTAAGCAGTGATCGTCCAAACCAACGCACTCGATTACCTACATAAAAATAAGTTAAGCACAGTTTGGCATCATTTTACAGCGACTCAATCAGTAACTTGGGCCGCAATTTTTCACGATTGTGAATGTCTGCGCGCGTGTATGCACGAAAAATTTGCAAACACTCGTCATGAAATCAAGTCTCCATAATTGACTAGTCTTGTATTTATTTCTCTACACGTCACCTCAAAGCGTCTTTTAAATATTTTCTTCTTCAACTCTTCCGTATACGTCTTTATCGATGTTTAATATAAATGGGAGAAAACAAGGACAAATAAAGCAATTTTTCTCATTAAGTACATTAAGAGAAAATTGTCTCTTCCAGCAGAGATCTGAACTTATTTACTCAATTGGAGGAATTTTTGTCTTGTTATTAATGCAACTGCAACAACTTCTTTTCATTTATTTCCAAAGAAAATGATAATTTCAGTAGCGATCCTGATACTCATGATGCCATCTGTTGAAATCGATGTGGAATATTACGATAGATCCATTCGCTAATCCTGCCAAGAGAAATCTGAAAATAATGCACACAATTATTTTTTCATTATTATTATTATTATTATTAATAATGCAAAACTGAAGTTGAATCAAATAAATACCTTTGATCATAAGAAAGCGCCAAAGATCTCACACTACTCTCACATGATGGAAAGGCATAAAGTAGAGCAAGATTGAAAGTTCGCCATACTTCAACGATTCCTTTATCGCCGGCAGTCATCATGTATTCTCCATCTCTACTCATAATTAAGCACTGAAATGTATCAAAATGAGTGAGTTATAGTTGACATAAAAAACTTAAAATACCATTAAATACAGTATTTAAAATATAGATTTTAAAATACTTTAAGTAGGAAAATTTTATTTTCATTAATAAAGGTGTTAACTGTTAATAATTTCTCCCAACAAAATTTATACGCTTACCTACCATTGAAAGGAAAAAAATAATAAAGAAAAATAAAAATTTAGTGAGAAGAATACAAAAAAAAAACTGAATTTAAGAATAGTCTTGTCAAATTGTTCTTCTTGACTGCTGCGTGCGAAAGGCACTTTTAAATCGGCGTGACTGTTTGAAGACTTCATATAACAAATCAAAGAGTATAAATAAATAAATAAAACGGTAAAAAAAAGTCAAGAAATAAAAAGTTTTTTTTATGTTTAATGTCTAGAATTAAGTCTTATGAATAAAAATCCCTTATGAATTTTCACTTAATTTGTTATAGGAAATCCGCAAAGTGTCCAACTGATTAAAAAGTGCCTTTTGGAAGGCACAACGCACAATAAGATCTAAAGTGACAAAAAAATTCTTTTTATTTATTTTATTCCTATACAATAATGACCAAAAGAAATTCTGATTTTGATAAATATAATCCAATCATCAGGCAAACATATAATCTAAACAATAAAATACATTAAATCGAATTTGCAATGGATTGAAATTTGTATAATCAATTAAAACAGTTTAAATAAAATTGTCAACACTTATAAAAAATTATTATTTTTAAAATATCTGTAATCAATATATATAATATTTATTAATAATGAGTCAAAATTTGTGAAATCAATATTGTCAATATTTTTTTAATGCTTGAGAGTACTTCATGTAATATACGTTACTTTCTTCAGAACAATAAATAAAAAATATAAGTTGAACAGTTTTGCTATACATAATTTTGAATATTTATACAAGTTATTGTTAAAAACCTTTCTTCTGTGAATTCTGAAATTAGAAATTACTATTTTTCTATCGATCTATACAATAAATCTTTCTGATCTTTGGTATTATTATAATATGAATATTTATTATTTAAAAAATAAGTAATTTGTTAAAAATATATACAATTTATTTAAACAAATAGAAATAATCTTTACATCTCTCTCGACTTAATTTTTTTTTTATTTATAGGTATTACAGTGGAACCTCGATTATCCGAACCGTAAAACATTTTATCTGAACTTTTTTTTGTCTTTCCGAATCATAAAATTTATTTATTTTTTTCATTTTTTAAATTTCATCATTCAAATTTTGCTAAAAAACGAATAGATTTAATTTTTCGAAGCAAAATAACAAAATTTATTTCAAAGAAATCTTTAGAAAAACCGTTTTTTATTTGATTAATATGTATTTATATCTAAAGGGTATGTGGGCAAAGAACGTTTTTTTGTGGTTTGAAACTTTCTCTGAAATAAAAAATAATTTCGGGTTAAAATTTTGGAGAAATGATTTTGTTTGGTACAAGGAATCTCGCAATAAATAGTAAAATAATGGATTTTATCATAGTTGATTCAGCGGCTACTCGTTCGAACGGGAGCTGTTTCCTGGAGCAATGACACTTTTTAAACTTCATTTTTTAATAATTTAATGCAAAATTATGTATTTTTCGGAGAACAGCGAGACTCCTTGTACCCAAATCTTTCATCCCTCAAAATTTTTAATAAAAATCTTTTCTCATTTTAGAGTAAGATGTATACTACCAAAACACATTGTCCCGTACTAGGTCACGTGGGAGGTTCCCACATACCCTTAATTATTATTTAATAAAGATTTAATTTAATATAAATATTTATGTACATTTAATATTTTATATTCAATTGAATATATATTGTTTAACTGTGACATTGTTTTACTTTAATTATATAAAAGCATTTGAAATTTCTATTATCCGAATTTTCGATTATCTGAACTCAGTCCTGTCTAGGTTAATCCGGATAATAGAGGTCAATATAAAATCATTTTCAAAAATACACTATTAAGGATTTTAAATTACGCTACATCGCAAAAAATTGAAAAAAATGTATTACTTAATACATTTTTTAATAGAACTCGACATTTTTCAACTATGAAAATTTGAATTTATTTTTATTTATCAAAACTTGAAATTTCGTTTTAATTATTCCCCAAATATATTGGAAAATAATAAAGTTTAAGTTCCTCTTTGAACAATCGCCATCAACTTAAGCAAAAAAATGAATTCAATTAAAAATTTAATGAATGATCAACTATACAAAAATCATCTAAATAGAAATTAGACATTACAAATTTAGATCCACTAGAAATTCGACCTTATGAAGTTTAGGAAATGTAAGTTATACTTGTAGGTTATCATTGTGTGATTCATATCGTAGACGTTTTCCATTTATGGTAAAGGCTGCAATATGTCCTCGTTCATAGTTAATGACAACTAAGCCTTCTCTACTTATTGCCAAATTTTCTGGAGAAGAAAAGCCATTTGGAGCTTCTAGAGATCTTAGAAGGTCACCAAAAGTTGTGTGAACTAACACTGGACCATCTGAAAACAGAAATCATATAAAAAATCATATTTATAATTCTTATACCTTCCTTTACTTTACATTCGCTATATTTATACAAAATTACAGTTAAAAAATATGTTATCCTTATAAAAAAAAGAAATTATAATAGTTTTTCTTTGTAATATGTACATGCAAAAAAAATCTGAGGATTTTACTTATAGAAAAATTGTAATTTTTAATGGTTAATTATATAAAGTCATACAGTGAGAGCCGGAAACCACAAGCCCAAGCTCCACAGAGATGGCAACTGCTGTTACAGGTTGCTCGTGGCCAGTGAGTGTAGCTCGTGGTGCAGGGGTCTCTCCTTCTCCAACAATAGTTTGTGTTCTTGCATTCCAGTGCCAAAGAAGAACTGTACAATCAGCGCTTCCAGAAGCAATGTAGCAATCTGTCATCGCGTTTAAGTCACTTCGTGTTAAGCATGTTACCACTCCATAGTGGCCAAAAATTATCTGAACAATTTTAGCTGGAAAAAATAAAAAATTGCCTTAGTGTTTGTACCCAGTTATTTATAAAAGTACATATATCAGTATAAATAAACAAAAATTTAAGAAATTTGCCCATTTTTTAAAGCTAGTAGCAATTAAAATTTACCTGTTTCAGTCGAGAAAACACGAAAACTGTTGTCCCAAAATCCACATGCTACTATGAATCGACTGTCGATGGTCGTTATGAAGCAATTACTTCTGATTTTCACTTTTTGGCTAAAATTATCACCTAGATGTCGTCGCAGAGCCACGTTTGAACTGTTTGTAGCTTGTGCTAAAATTTTAATGGAAACATCATCATTATAGAGTCGAATTTTTATAAACCTAATTTTATAAAGTGTGACCTGGACAGTTAAAAGGGACTTTACGTCCGAAAAAATCGATTTTTTATTCATTTTTTCGGACGTAAGTTCACTTTTAATTGTCCAAGTCACAAGCAGAATTTACCGCCTAAGACGGAGATGTATACATACATATTTCGCTCATGTAGGACTTAAGAATATAATTTGATACTTCTATTAACAAATACAGAATAATGTAGTTTTTGTTAATAGAAGTAACAAACTTTATTTTAAAGATAATTTTTAAACAGATTCATAGGTGAGCCAATTTACTCTACATGAACGAAATTCTCACGGGGTGCATTGAACAGAACATTTAACAGAACTATTATTTAATCGAATTTTTATTCGTCAAAATTTTCATTTCATTGGGAAGTTTAAAATTAATCACTCAGAAAAACCACGTTTAAAAATTCGACTAAGTTGTAATTTATCTCAAGTAAAAATTCAGGTTAATATAAATTCGATTAAATAAAAATTCATAGAAAGACAATTTTTTTTACTGATTTTTGACCTCTCCCCTCATTGTGGACACCAAAATACATTGAATCATGGACATTTTTAACCCCCCCCCCCACCTTCTCCTTAAAGTGTTCACGTGGTATATGGACGACCCCTAATATTAGTTTGGTATAACATTATCTGCTAAGCAAAAATTTTGTTAAATAATACTTCTCTTAAATAAAAAATCTACAATATGTGGGTGTAATAACATTAGTACATGAAAGTCGATCCTCTGAAAATTCGAAATAATGCATTCTAGAGAATATTCATGCGTTTCAAATTATAGTTTTTTAAAATTAAAACTTACACAACATTGGATCCATTTGAAATGGTTGATGGACAACTTGAACTTGAGGATTGTCAGCATAGCTTGGAGATTGCACGGAAGCTGTTTCAAGATAACATGATATTATCAACAAACAATATTGGAGTCATTCCACTTGAAGTAGACAACTCAAATCAAGTATAGTCATTTTCAGCATCATATTTAAGTGATTGCTATTTTTTTAAATGAGTAAGTAAAAAAAATGACTTTTGATTTTCGTTTTGAAATATATAAATTAAAATTAACAAATCATTTTCATCGATTTAGACCATTTAGAAAAAGCTAAAAAATTTAAAAAAGTTTTTTTTTTTGTTCAAATTTTCAGTATTGTGCAACCGATAAATCTTGTGAAAAATATCAATTGCATTTTGAAACAATGAAATTAATAAAAATGTACATTATAATTTTTGTTCTACAATGTGTTATTCTATCCATTTAAATTTGAACAATGTAAAAATTCATATAGGTATTATGAAACATTAACATTACAATAGAAAATTAATCTCTTCTAAATAAAAACTATTAAATTAAATATTTACAAAATTATGTGAAACACATTTGTAAAATTTAAACAGTAAGTTATGATATTTGAACAGTTGATATTTAGGTTATTATCTAAAAAATACAAATTAATATCATCCAAAAAAGTAAGAAACTCGGAAAATGTATGAAATTTTCTAATCCAATAATTATTTTGGGTAAAGAATCAAAAATATGAATTACTTATACTTTTGGTCATTTTTAATATCTATATCTATTAAACCATTGAAACGTCCAATTGAAAATATTTAAAGTTTAATTGTTTTAATTTAGCTATTTTTAAAATGAATAGCGCTACTTGAATGTGGTGATGAAAATTAACAAGAGTTAAGCTTTCAGACAATATTTAATATTATTTTTCTATTTATTTAAATGAATACTTGCCGGTATAATTTAAATTCCACCTATTGAGGGCAAATTGATGACCAGTTGTTATTGTTACAATGCACGGATTAGGTACTTGTGGAAGTGTATTTGCTGAAATATGACAAATTGGAGAATTTGAAGGAAACTTGGCAGTCATGCAAACATCATCTGGGATGCTGTTGAACATCATCGGAGTCTGTTGAAAAATATACAAAAATCGTTTCATTTATTTTTCAAAATTTAACACACATTCCATTATTATTAATTAGTTGGTAATATTTTATCTATTATACTAAATAAAAAATTCTGCTTTTTTTAGTGTTAATTATTTTATTATACTCCTCCTCTTAAAGTTCCTAAAAAATATTACTATAAAATACATTTGTCAGGTAAAGATTATATTAGGTGCTAGCTGGACGGACGTAAAAATTGATAGAATATTTTCAATGTGCTTGAGTGCACATTCAAAAATTAATTTGTGCGTTAGAAAAAGAAAGTAAGTGAGACTTTGCATATATAATTATTTTCATTTCTCTTTGCAATGGAATAAAATGATATAGTGCGCGATGAATAGAAAATGTGTTTGACTCGAACGAAGAAAATTTTTTCTCGCACTTACAGTACTTTTCAAGCGCACAGTATTTGGAGAAGACTTGGAACTTGTTAAAGGCCCATTGAGACTTACTGCATGCATTGCCGAATTTCTAGGTGGATGAGGTTCCAAGAGAAGCTGGGACGGTGTTTGTCCGAAATTTCGAATTTGATTTTCTATAGCTTCTTTCATTACGGCATCTGAAATTGTTTCCAAGTCAACACTTCCTTCATAGGTCAAGTAGTAGAAAACATTTGTCGCTCTTACAGCTTCTGGTCCTGAAAAATGATTAACGACGTTTACGTTCTTTCTATTTCAAAATACATATATATTTAAATAATTCGCTAGGACAAAATAAGAAGTGAGAGGAAAAGAAAATTATAGTTCGCTTTCTCTGGAAGTGTAACATCATGATGTCAGAATTGCGCGGTTCCAGCTAAAGTTACTGCCGATTTATAAGTGGCTCCGGCTCATACGACGATGTTCCCCTACTTTTTCAGTGTAGATTCTCAGGTTCTGTCGCTTTCGTTCCCCAGAGAAAACGTGTTACATATTACGGGTGGGATTCATTGTCGCGCCTCGAACACGTGCCTAATTGGTTTGGACCAGGCCCCAGAGAGGAAACTAACAAAAACCATACGATGGCTATGTAATGCAAGATCGAGTCCCACTCCTGGGAGATGCATCTTCGAGGAAAAGCCGGATATAGAGGCGCCACCGACAATTACCTCTGGCGTAAATTTAATTTCACACGACTCGTCATCTTCGTCATGGTTTTCCACAAATAATTGTGTACATCTTTCAAACTTTAAACTCATTTTCTAACATTTAACATTATATTACATTTGGGATATTTCATGCCAACATATGTGTACGTTCGTATGAAAAGAGATCTCTTTGTCCGTTTTATTTTGTCACTATTTTTTTCGTAATTATAAACACGCTATAATCATATTTTTAATTTTTAATAGTATGAGATATAATGGTAGATTCGAACTTTAAACTCGTTTTTTTCAAAACTATTGTAAATTGAAATAAGTTTCAATAAACTCTCCATTGTTAAGTAAGTATAATTAAAGAAAAACAAATGCATTTCAATTTCAAACAAAATGTTTGGAAATTTATAAATTTCTTATGAATATAAATTTTCTGCAAGTTAGTTAGTTAAAAATTACCTCTCTGCTTGTATCCAAAAATTAAATCTATCCACTGATGAAGTTGAGAAGAAACAAATTCGGATTCAAGTGCCTGAAATAAAAAATGAAATAATTTTTAATAAATTTAAAATAAATAAATACAAAAATAATAATAATATTTTTTAAATATTGTAATTGGTTACAAACATATTTACCATTCGATTTATACGAACGAATTCCTCTGGAGACGTTGCCCAAGGTGGTAATTGGACATCTCCAACAGAACTACCGTCTTCTTGAACACCTAAGCGATAACGATTGCTATTGACAAATATTTCCGGAAGAAAGAAAAATTCCGGAATCAGTTCCTATAAGAATAAAATGTTTCAATTATTTGTTGCCACAATGTAGTAAGTACATAATATATACATATATATATATATTACATATCTTCGACAAGATTAAAATTTATTTTTATAAAAAAAACCAACCTTGACGTCAGACGTATCTCGTTGACAATTTTTCCATGATAAAGCGATAGAAGAAAACAGTCTATTAGGATGATCGAATTTTCCTCCTTGAAGAGCTAAAAAGAAGGTGGTCATCGGTTCCTAAAATATAGAAAGTGAAAAAATCTAAATTTTAAACAAGTTTCAAATATATACATTCAATAAATTTGCAGGAATCTGAATAATGTTGAATGAAAGCGAACAAAAAATAGTGATGATAATAATGATTCATTAATACTGACAGATGCAGATATTTTATTGGCCATTTTTAAAGATTTTTACAATATAAAGATGCTTTCAACAACATGTGTCACAATGTCAACTTGTTCAATCCTTTCAGTATTGAATATAGTTTAGAATAATTATAAATTATATTTCAACAAAAAATTTTTCCAATGTCAAAAAACAGTAGAGATTAATTTACTTAATTATAAATCAAAAATATGCAATTCTTAACAAATTTTCTAATGAAAGGCTTCTGAAAAAAAATTGTCAAAAACAAAAAAATAAACATATACTTTAATGGTGCAATAATTATTCTTCAAATCATAATTTATCAATTCCTAAGTTATTATTGTACCATTGTGTTTTGAACGCCAAATGCAATGAAAATCGTTATTGTCATCCTATTTTGTGACAAAAGAAGATAAAATTTTATCAATATAATATTTAATTAGTATTCAATGAAATAACTAATGTTATTTCTTTCCAATTAAAATAAACAATTGATAAATTTATCGAATCAAAAAACTAATTAAACTAACCACTCGGATGAGCCAGTTGAGAACGAAGGCTGCAGTGGAGTAGTGAGTTCCATAATGAAAAGGTGGTATGCTTTCATGTTCCCAAGTTTGAAATCGCTCTTCAAAATAAGCTTTTCTACTGGGATTTAGAGCACCAATCGGCTGAAACAAAAAATATTACATGAAATTATTGATTTATTTAAATAGGGTAAAAGTTCTCAAGTGAAATTTTACAAAATTTTTTTCGACATATCCGGCACCCAGATAGCACGTAAGTTTGCAGCAACTTTGCAGCAAGGTTGCCGCGCAATATTGCCAACCTTGAACGGCAAACTTACAGCAAGCTTCAAATGTCTCACCTGACCCAAATTGTATGGTAAGATTACCGAAAGATATCAGTATAATATAAGGTTACTGCAAGATTACACAATAAGATTATAAGTAAGTTTGCTGCAAGCTAGCTGCACGGAGAAAAATTGTTCCGTACATTTTACTGAATTTTAACTGAAAGTTGGGATATAGTTGCACAAAAGGAATTTTTCAAAATATTTTTTTTATTTTTTGTAGTGATGACAGGTAAAAATTGATATGATATTTTAATTTATTACAAGCTAGTACTGTAAATATATGAAAAATTTGAATAATTAAACATTGGTTTATATTACGATAACTTATACATATGATTATGTCGACTATTAGTCTACAAGAAATTATAAATCAATATTTATTCAGTGAATTTCTCAAAAAGTTGCTTTTTGAAACGATCGTTTCTTAATATTTAAAAGTAACCAAAAAAACCTGTGCTATTTATCACTTTTTGATGAATCTTTTATTTAAAACATGTAGTCTTTAATTTTATATTTTATCAAAAACAGACCTTAATATTCTTAGCTATTGTTCTAGTTTATGTATACTGCTAGTACCTTACGGTTTCCCGAACTGAACTTGTTATAATATTTTATGCCTTTTGCATTTTACTGTACTAATTATTGAAAATTACCGTTTTGCTGTTATATCCCAATTTTACCGAACTAAGTTCAGTAAAACTCTCGGAACAAATTTTCTCCGTGTGGAAACTATTATTAATTTATTATTAAATTTATTAATTAATTAATTATAAATTTAACTTTAGATACAAATTCCCTTTAATATATGTATTTGGGACCATAGCTGGAAGGTAAAAAAAATGTACTGCGCAGCCCTATATGTTATAGAATTGAACTGCGCATAGTTTTTTAGTTTTGCAAAAATATAGTTTTGCAAACTTGCAGAAGACTTGCAGAAGACTTTCAGCAAACTTGCATTGCAAGCCTGCAGCTAGCTTGCAGCAAACTTGCTTCAAGCTTGCTGTAAGTCTTCTGCAAGTTTGCAAAGGGTGAGACATTGCAAGTTTGCAGCAAACTTGCAAAACTTGCAATGCAAGTCGGCTCCAAGTTGGCAGCAGACTTGCGTTCTATCTGGATGCAACCTTTCAGTAAGCTTATCATGCAAGTTTGGGTCATCATTCATTAAGAGTGTTGAACGGTCTCTGAAATTCTTTGGCAAAGAGGGACCTTTAATTATCGCGCCCTATAAAAGCGGCACTGGGTGTGAAAATGGTAAACATTGATTTTAAAATATTTTTTTTCTCTAAATACAGACACTTTTTACAAAATCGGTCAAAACACCAAGGATCCTTATCTTATAAATTTCCTAAATCCAAAAGGTTGTGCGAATCCATGTAAAAAGGCGATTTGCTCCCTGCTTGGTGTTTTGGCTGATTTTGTAAAAAGTGTCCGTATTTCGAAAAAAAAGTATTTTAAAATCAATGTTTACCATTTTCACACCCAGTGCCGCTTTTATAGGGCGCGATAATTAAAGGTCCCTCTTTTCCAAAGAATTTCAGAGACCGTTCAACACCCTTAATTAATAATGCACTCATTGTTCCTATTTTAAACAGAAAATTCTGTGACTAATTTTATATTCACTGGTCTTTAAACCATCGTTTTCCTGATAAATGAAATAGTACATTGTGTGGCAAGTGGCGGAAAGTTGTCAATTCCTGACTGAGCGCGAAGTTTCCGCACGAGAAAGGTATATGGATTAATACCAACCTTGGATAAGTCTCGATAATTGCTTGGCAATGTAAGATCAAGTTCTTTTGTTTCATAATTTGAAAGAATCCAAGGGAATACTGGATACTGGTTGAGATCATTGTAAGTTCTCCCTGAAACAACCAAAAGAATTTCTTAAAGTATTGTTATGTGCATATTACAGTATATTTAATTTAAACGAGTTAAAAAAAGTTGAAAATCTTAACTACTATATATATACAGTTTTCTTACTCTTTCGCCAATCAAATTTAAATTAACAAGAATACATAAAAATTTGTAAAAGACACAACTGTGGAAGCTTAAGTGATATTCAAATTCATATGGTATTTCAATTTACATAATACCCGCGGTGAATTAATATCTTTAATTATTATACATGTTGTTTGATTATATTTAAACGTTTTGGTATGAACTTTGTTGTTTGTTTGTAATCATGCTTACTCAGGAAATAGATAATTATTTCAAATTTAAAAATAAATTATTTACACATATTGAATGAATCGAAGCAGATGTTTCTAAATGATCCACAATAAACATTGGCATGTGTTCACATGACCCGCAGAGAATGTAAATTTCAATTTGAATGTGAAAAATATTCTAATGAATATTAGATTGATGAAAAATAATATATTTGTTTTGCCGATTTTTCATTTGAAACCAATTAATTGGTCACATAAAATTTCGATTCATAGTAAAAATTTGATTAAATTAAATTTCAACATGTTTTGTTAATATCAAACCTACTAGAGACTGCATAAGAATTTTATTAAGTTGACATAATGAATTACGTTCACCAACATTATCTTTTATATGCAGGTGTATCTGAACTCAAAGAATGAACGTTACAAAATTTAGTCACAAAAGCTATACACGAGTTGACTAAACATCTGTTGATATAAATGTTATATGTATATTAATAGCAAATAAAAAGGAATTCTAACAACTTGAATAAGTCGTTACTTCTTTGTATAATAAAGAGAAAAGGCACACAAACATTTCATTTTGTAATTTACTAAACCGTTCCTCTAGCTCGTATTTCTTTATTAGTAAAATCCTTAAGTGTCACATGGGCTTGAAGAAATAAAAAAATGTTGTAATTCTCTGGCGCCAAAAGATAAAAACTAAAATGTGACCGATGGAGCGTTATACGTGGAACTTAAACAAGTTTGAATGTGAAATCTATTTTTAAGAAAAGTGCGTGCCTTGAGAACAACTCAATGGGGCGCGATGCTCCGTTTAGTAAATGCATAACTCAAAGCGTGACGGCTAATCGCTCTTGAAATTGTCACCTCGGAAGCTCTCACTTTTACATTTCGGTTTTCAGGCTTTTCGGTTAACCCATGGAATCTCATTCAAAATATATGTATATATATATATATATAATTCATATATGTATACAGCCAAATGTAATTCTTTTCCTGTTCTTCGCTAATTAAAGTACGTCAGCGAGTCTGTCATTCGTTACGAGCATGTTCTCCATGCGTAACACAATCGCTTAACATCTAGCTTGAATTTCTCCTTCTCATTTCCTCTGCTTCTCGCCCTTTAATCATTCTTGGAAGTATATATATTTCCATTTTCCGCTTTTTAAAGATATTCATGCTGAATCTTGTTAGACATTTTTTTACAATGGCAATAAAATATTGACTATAGTTATCACTTTTCAGTGTAAATAATTAAATATTTTTCATGAAATAATAATAATTGTTGAATTTTTATATCGCTGATTACAAATAATCTAAATCAAATTATAAAAATAAAAATAATAAAGCTGATAAGAAATGTGTTATATTTTTTATGAATTCTGGATAACTATATACATTCTAGTAGATTTTTCCGTAAAAACACGTAAGGAAATGAAAAATCTCAAGCCGCCACAATATATTTTAAATCAAGCTCCAGGACGTACAATCATATGAACATATGGAGGTCGACAGTAAATAATATCATAAGAGACCGCGCGTTATGCACCAAAGTCATTATTAATGCGTGCATCCGTGTGGACGAGGGTTTCAAGAAGACTTTCCGTCAGTGACAGCTCAGCAATGTATCTGTGCAACAACAGCAATACAACACATTTTTTGGACTCTCTTTTCGCTTGGCGTTGTAAACGACCCTGATTTAAGAGACCAAGAAGACAGCTCATGTTCATTCCAATCTTCTTTATATCGGCACCCGAAACTGAAGCGAGCTAAATTCAAATGTATACGCTGCTTAAAAAAGTGTATATGCACACATTTTTTAAATTAATTAATTCTCACGGTGGTCTTATACAGACTAACGGCATTCGAGAAGATTCAATAAGTGGAACATGTATTTCTCAAATAAAGAAGAACCTTCAAAACGGATTCATATTAAGAGAGGGGGAACGATTAGATCCTCAAAAACAATTTAAAACTCATTAAAGCGTGTTTCAACATTTTTGGTAAAAGCATGAAAGTTGTTATCTAATGATTCAAAATCATACGCTTTAGAATTTGTGTAATATATCATATATGATTGAATCTCTATAAAAAGTCAATTTATCGTTATCTGTTTGGTCATCAATTTTTAAAGCGCGTTAATTTATAAAAAAGGAATGAAGAAAATATTCTCCATTAGCGTTTGCTGAAAAAAGTATTTTAAATAAAGGGGGAAAAAACATTTGGAAAGGTTCCTGAGGACAGAAGGGAACCGTGGGCGAAAAATCTAGAATTCGTGTTTGTCCCCAAAGTCGCCGTATGGTTGTTTATCTCTTCCTATCGCTATCGTGAGGACCCGAAAGATAATTCACAGCCGCTTAGAACCGGCGGAGATACGATCAAAGATGAATGTAAGGTCCTGTTGGCAGCTGCTGCGGCAAATATACGCTGCCAGGAATCGCTAAAAAGGTATAAAAGAGAAATGAGGTGTGGAAAGCAACCAGTGGTCGAAGCTCGATTTCACCAAAGAACCGTAATAATAATCTTTATTACAAATATTGTAAACCAGATTCTTACATCATCTTCATATTCCAAATTTGACATAAAATATATTTCAGAAAAGTTCTTGAGTGAAAACTATAAGCAAAATTGAATATGCACTCCAAAAAAATGATCCAAGCTATTAAATAAATCTTCAGTCATAGTTTATCATGAAATTATTTCTCCTTAGAAATAAAATAGGTTCCCAACTAGAATGTAAAGTTGTTTCGTACTTGAGGAATTCCGTTCCAGTTATATTATTGAGAAATAGTCTTCAATATTAAACTGCGGTTTATCGAAGGCAAAGTATTTAGAGAATTTAAACTTACTGAGTATTACAACATTCCGGTGTTTAACTGGTGTCGACAGAAGCAAAGTACCCTGTTAATTGCTAACTTTATAGTCTGCATGTTTTGCCTCTGAAATTTTATACTTGAAACGAGAGTATTAATCTTTCAGTTCTAAAAAATGTATTTCATAAAGAGCTGAAGAATATATTTTATTTGTCCTTTTTGAATACAATTTTTGCTTAAATATAGAGCAACTAATTTTTAAGTACTTGTTTGTAGACAAAATATTATGTTCAAAAGATTACACTGTGGGTAACAAAAAAATGATGATGTATTTATTTAAAAATTACTGTGTTTATTGAATGTTTGGGTGTCAATGAACAAGAAAATACAAAAAAAATATTAATTTGTTCAATCCCCTAAAGCACATCTGGGGTAGTAAACTACCCGCAAAAAATTCAAATTTCGCGGTATTTTTTGCAAATTTTGTGTTTTTTGTTGTGGTTTTTGTAATTTTTTGGCGATATTTTTTTGATCTTATATCAAAAAACGCTATCTTCTTCCATATAAAAAAGGAAAAAGGAATAAAATTATTTATAATAATGTTATTTTGCTTTAAATATGAACATTTTAGCAACAAAACAATTTTGGGGTGGTTTTCTACCCCAGATGTACTTCTACGTATGAGCCAGCTATGTTGTGCTGTCTAGGGTTAAAGTATCAAAAAATGGTTTTTTGTCACTGTTTCAAGTACTATATGTATAAAAAGAAAACGTGAAGGCATAAAAAGCTTTTATAGGGTATAAAAGAAAGCTTAAATATTTAATTTTAAGACCCAAAACTGAAAAGTCATGTGACAATTGGGGAAACCTGTATTTATAATGCATATAACTCTTAAAACCTAAACCCAAACACTCAATAAACACAGTAATTTTTAAATGAACACATCATCATTTTTTTTGTAATATCGAGTGTAATATGAAAATTATTCTTCTGATAGTTTGGGTAATTTTCCTTTCGACACTTGAATACATTTTTCAATTGAAAAAAGAATAATATGATATAATATGATAAATAAATATATAATACATTATCATTTATAATTGTATAGAGAAAAAGTAATTACATGTGAGAATCCGCGTTCATCTTGTCAGTAAGTGAGGGTAATTTATTTTTGCCCCTATATAACATGACATCTACGACTTTGAAAATTGGAGAAATTAAAGATTATCTTTGATCATTAAGTCATTTTGTGACATTTTGTGACAATGTCAAGAGTTCGAGATTTTTACTAATGAATATATATATATTTAAAAAAAAACATAACCATCAATAATGCGCGACTCTATATATGAGAATTGTGAAAAACATATCGCGGTTTGCCAAAACAGAGAAGGGATCGAAGAGACTGATATTAAACCGAATAGAAACAAAGAGACTCACTCCATTCTTTTGTCAGGGACCCCAGGGAGAGGATTACCGCGGACGGGGCAGACTGGAATACGGATTACGCTTCTGGGGTTGGAACGCGAGCAGTATGCTCTGATTGAGAACATCCCTAATTCGGGCCGACAGAATCCATCCACCCGTGTGCAGCCATAAAAAGCCCACTTTCTATATGTAACGTCTTCACGAAAACGAGAGGAGCGAGAGATACGTCAATGCCGGTATAACTGCTACGTTTTTCAACACAAAACGGTGTACGTTGGAATATTCAGTCGAGCTCAGATTTATTCTTCTACCTTTCTGCCCCTCGACTACTCCCTTCAGTTCTCCAGAAAAGAATAACACATTTTTTATCTTAGGCGCAGCGTAAATATTTTTCTAACCTTCTTTGGGTGACGCGAGTTCAAATTTAATGAGGAGAACTTACATCTACGATTGAAAAAAATAATTAAATAAAATAACTTTCTTACCTGCCAAAGTATTGAGAAACATAAGGTATTCAAAGTTGGAGACTTCACGCCGTTGCCACCTTGCCGTCATATTTGACATTCTGAACATTTGACGTGGTGTCATTAAAGAAGCTCTTCTGCAAAGTGAACAAAATATTAATGTCAATTATTTCATTATAAGTGCATAATAAAAAAATTAAAACTTGTCATAAAACCCTGTAATTCAAGATAGTCGTGTAATTGCGACCAAGTATTTTCACGCTTAATTCTAAAGTTATCTGTTTCAGAATTTATACATATAAGCAAGATTTTTAATAGCTAATTAGATGGCTAAAAAAGCTGAATACATTCATTATAGATGAAACCATATTTAAAGTAGAAAGTTGAAGAAAGTTAATTTTGAGAAAAAACTTAAGCTCAACTTTCTTATGTTGGTATTGAACATTTTGGAATGAATTCAGTCTACAAACTTTTATTTCTCAGTTATTTAGCTACATTTTTGAAATAAAACTATATCGTCCGACAGAAATATTTGATACAATTTGTAAATATATTATAAACATTTGGCTAGAAGAGTAAAGCGAAAAAGTGAAGCGATATTTAACATTTTTGGGCACATTATTCGAAACTCGAGGTTATATTTATGCAGACTGGAAAAGAAGAATGGGAATAAATACATTATTACTCGCGATGTCACTATAACGAAAACGCTTAAAACGTTACAGCGAGTAGGATATAAAGAGGTGGAGGAGATGAGAAAAAGGAGAGAAATAAGGGAGAAAGGTTTATTATTTTTGTTGGTCAGGAATCTCCCTTGGATCAGACGTCGGACTCTCGAACCTCGTATATTTATGGTCGTCGTATCTCTTGCCAGTTTTCTCCTCCGTCTTTCTTTCTCTCTCAGTTTAATAGATGGCCAGGCTGCGAACCTGTGTTCTTGCCGCTCGAAGAAGTGAATATAACTTGCGCCAAGAAACGAAAGAGAGGAAAGAAAGCGTAACCAACTTTTGCGTTCATATAATGAAAATATTTAAAGAAAACGCCCAACAGATTAGATATCGAATTATATGTTGAAATAAAAATCCTCTCTCTTTTTTGTTTCGTTCATATATATATATATAATTATTGCGAGTGAATTTTTATACATAATCGATTGAGGTAGAATGAAATAAGCTTGATTTCGTCCCTCCGATTTTTAAGTAGGTTCGCGGAATCCAAACTCAAAGGGACAAAGAAATTGTGGAATGCACTGAGCGTGTTTCGCTTCAAGGACTCAAAGTGGACCGGAATCGCGAACGAAAAGGAAGGAATTAAAGGGTTTCTGCCAATTCTCTTTATAGCTTACCTAGTCTGCGGAATCCCGTACTTGACACCCACACCGGTTCGCGGCAGCGCCTTGATCACCTTTTTTACTGTCGCTTGATCCGGGAGGGCGAAGAAGATGGAGGCTGTTGAAAGGAAAAAAGCGTCAACTTTTGTATAAGTAAATAATATTCACGATTTTTTACGTGTAATTTGCTCGCACCTTTCGTCAAAGTTTTTTATGTGGACACGGCCGTAGGTCTCTTTCTTCAGAGCGCGTTACAAATATAATTTACTATAAATATTCAACTCGAAAGGCAATCGAAACATATCAGAAATGTAAATAAAGTGAAAAAATGCCATTTAACATTTAGCCCCATGGTGTGTTTTTGGCTTGGACAACAGATACACAAAATTTGACTAAAAATATTTAGAAAAGAGTTTCAGATTCATTTTCAGCGTCCCCAAATTAATTAAATTAATAAAAGTATATCCAAAAAAATACACAAAAGTTGAAACTTACGTCGTCGCAAAAATTTACAACTTTATGGTCACAACACACTTCACGTTATAAGCGCGTCAAAAATGAACTGAATGACGTTCATTTCTCGTCCCAAGGCCCTTCTAGAGTCCAAATTTTAACCCTGTAGCTACATATTTCCGTTTTAAAGATATATAGAATTTTAATGGTTTTAACAGTTTAACATTTAGCCCCAGTCGCGCCTATTTTACAATAGAAAACAAAGTATGGACATCGATGTTCCTAGGAAAATGTTCAGAAGATTGTTAAAACCTTTCAATAAAACAAATTTCCGTATAATTTATATGCATGCTATTTTAAGCGTTTGATGAATCTAAGGTATAACTACTTTCTAAATCTGAATTATAGTCACTTTTGACTAATTCAATAGCACCGATTCGTTTATTAAATGAATTAGTAACAGTAAATAAATAATTTTTAGTCAAAAATGTCTAATTCATTAGTTATTTTTTACTACTTGAAATAGGGCCAATTCGTTCAGGGTTTTACTGTTAATTTCTACCAATTCAGATTTAGAGAGTGTAATTGATTTTTGGTGAATTTTATCACTCAAATTAATAATTATTAGTAGAATTTCAATAACTTAGTCAAATGGTATGTGTAAGATTTTCCTCTTTGACATATAAAAAACAAGAGGGACGTCCCCGTCCTTATCTTGGTGGAAGAAGTCTATATATTCATTTCACGAACATTTATGCTTCCTCATAGAAAATGATTATTTCTATATTTATTTCTTTTTTTTACTTTTCACGTCATTTTTTTATTAAATTAGTAAACTTTTTTAAAAATTAAACATCTATTTAATTGTTCTTATAGGGGTCGTCCATAAATTACGTCACACCTTTTTTACCATTTTTTACCCACCCCCTTCCCCATGTCACACACGATTGTGTACGTTTTTAAAGCGTCTATAAATATCATCAGATGCAAAATTTTAAAATTTACATTAAAATTTAATACCAAACAAATTCAAAATAAAAATCGAATTTGAAAATTATTGGTTTTACAATACTTCTTTTTTCTTCACTCTCCCTTGAGAAAGCAAATGCTTAGCAATAATTTTTCTTTATTATAATAGTCAAATTTTTTCTATTTGGTAAATGAAAAAATTGTTAAATTAATTTGGTTTTGTTTGAAGAGAGGGATATTTTCTATAGGTATTTGTATATATTTTTTCAATAAAATGCTTGCTTCAAAAAGAGCATGGGAACTTGGGATTAGATTAGAATCTTGTGGACTTGAAGAATTTATATCGCGACAGGTAAAAATAATAAGAATACTTTTGGCGCTTTCGTTAACAATTTTGCAAAAGTCTGTCCTTGTCTAGTTGGTCTGACTCCGTTTACACCTTAAATTCAGTCTCAAAAATAGGCTGAAATCAAGATTTCTTTTTTAGTATGTATGTTTCTTGTTTGAATCAATGATTTTTCAACAATTTTTTTTAATTCTTGTTTTGTGCAACTTTCTTAAACATTTTCTGGACAAAAAATTATATAATTATATCAGTGTGGATTTTTTTATAAAGCGCTGATCATGTACGTTGAGAACTTTGCCATATCCATAAGTGATGAAAGTGTCAATGCAGAGCTGAACCGAGGCAACCGCGAACTGGTTAAATAAATTGGTCACATAAAAAGGCATACCGTAATGCGCGATGGATATTTATTGTGTAAAAACAAACCAGAACCGAAACACCTCGCGGCGAGTTCTGGATGCCAGCAAGCTCTTTCAGATTAGAGTGATTCGTGTGAAATAAAGCGGAATTTATTCGACTCTAGAAGAAATGAAACGGATCGCAAATTGTTTTATCAAATTAAATTTAAAAAAACTGGCAAAATTAAATAGCTATACATCATGTTAAAAGTGATTGCACCAATAAGATATAAAATAGATCAATTATGGTTTTCCTAACTTTACTTTATTGTTTTTATATAGACTTTTAAGTAGATTTTATACAATATTTTCTGTAAATTTATGGATTTTCTTGTAATTATTTTACAGAAAAAATTAATAAACCCATAGAATTCAAGGGAAGATTGTCAAATCTGTAAACCTTATATATTATGTATAAATGATATAAGAGACAGTTGCTGCTAAACCGCAAATAAACGAATATAATTGTCCAAAAATAATTTCAAGACTTCTTATTCTTGAATTCTTATTTTACATGCATTTTAGAAGAATATAAAATGAAATTTTATATGTAACTTACATCTGCTGGAAAGGAAAATCTCAATTCCAACGTTTTGCAATAGGTAAGATCGTGTAAAGATGGCTCGAATTTCCGAGAAGTACCATTTTCCATGCAAATGATCACAGTACTTTAGTATCTGAAACAAAACAAAAGGAATAAAAAAACTGTTCGGAGAACAGAATTTCATTTTTTACATATTTGTAAAGTAAAGAAAGGTATATGCTGCTCTAAAAAACTGTTATTTCTGTTTTGAAAGCAACATTCTAGAAATTACACTAAAACGTCAATCGAGAACAGACGAATGTGCAGTGCTGTTCTCGATTGACACGATTTTTATCGCTCGAAAATAAAAACACTCAGGGCCGTATGAAGGGCCTTACGCAACAATGTGAATTCTATCTAGGGGATTTTCACTAGTGGGGCACTGAATCCACCTTAAATTTAAAAATCACAAGTACGACTTTGGCGTCAGTCATAACCTAAATTCTACCCGCTTCCCCACTTCCCTTCAAGTGTTCCCTTGCTCTGTTCTCGATTGACGTTCTAGTGTAATTTTATTGTTTTCAGTACTGATATAATAATATAGAAAAAACTTTGCGTGACTCTTTTCTTCATCTTTATTATTAAAAGCTGTACACTGCAAAAAGATTAATTATCTTATTTTAAGATGTTTTGGTAGCATTTTCAAGACATTTTAAACATCTTAATGTCTTCAAAACGCTACCAAAACATCTTAAAATAAGATACTTCTTTTTGCAGTGTATATTAGTAAAATAATACATAAGATAACATTTACGTAAAAGTATTTTTTAGCTTTATAAAATTCCAGTTATTTTCAAGTGTGATTGCAAATGGTTAAACTATATACCTATAACCTCTGAATTAATGTTATGCGTGAAATTTATATGTATATTTGTTTAACTAATTTTTTAACGTTATAACTCTCATAGCATAACATTAAGGGCCCATGTACGGAAGTCTTGACATCTTCCTTCTGGAATTATACCGTGCAAAAAGGATGTAAAAGGATATTTATTGTCGAAAAAGGATATAAAGTTATCCTGCGTATGCACTCAAGTGTGATATAGTGAGCACGAGGGCAGATTGCAAGATGGCCGACAAGGTGGGAGGAGCCTCCTGCCGTGTCCAGAATCGATCCCAGGACTTTCCGGACTTGCGCTGCACTCATTGCAGAGGAGAGAAAGGAGTTACATATACATATATAAAGAGACAAGAGTGAGTGCTTCTCAAGGAAAATTAAGAGGAACCAGGCACAATGCCAGTTGCAAAGTAAATCCTAATTTGCCGCATCCCCATACCAAGGTTTTCGATTTTTGGTCCTTTTAATGAGCAAATAAAATTAGCTTCGTTATAATTTCGACATTACTTGATTATTCTCATTAACTCTCATCCGTTAGTTTTCGCTGCTGCTGAATTTTCAATAAATTCAAATATTTTAGACAGATTTTAATACTTTTTTTCTGACTCGCTGTTGTACAAATGCTGTCAAATTGATTTATAGCAGAAAGACCAAACAAACAAGAGCAATTGGGAAATCTATCTCAACAGTAGTAATATAAGAGTAGCATCTCAAGTGTGTGTCATTGACAAGTAGAACAGAATGATGATGTTTTTCAGCAAGCTGCACGTCAAAACCTAATTACTCAACACTAATATAGTAATAAGCCGCCTCAGATCCCACGGGACCCCAAATGTCCCCGAGCTGCGACGAGGCACAATTTGGCCCACGCTTGACTAAAATACACATATATACATATATATATATATATACTATCTCGGATTCACATGGCAGGAAGTTGATTTTTTTCTTATACAAAGAATCTAGATAAATTATTAATTTTTTCTTGAAAAACGATGTAAAAATAGTTTCTATATTTATATAAATATAAAATGGTCGGATGCATCAGAAACATCGAGAGTTTAAAAAATTCGATCCAAGAGTCTTTAAAACTATTTACTTTTATGATTTTTATGACTGGTAATTTGCAATGTGCGCATAATCTGGAATCCGAAACGGTCCCGTGTAGAAATTTTGCCCTGATTAGGAAATCCACATTTCCTCGTGGCCCTGAACAGTCCCTGATCGGGACCAGATTATTATTCACTACCAGGGCCCTGGTAGGGAAATTTCTGCACAGGGTGTTACATACTCGAAAAGAGCAATCAAGACCACACGCAGTGAGTGTCAAGTGGGACAATATTAGATCTCCCTGTTCATCTTGCATCCTTCGAACATGCAGCTAGATGCTACAATCGGCACCCGGGGGTGAACAACAAAAGGTGATGTGATGTAACAACATGTGTCGCGTTCACAAGCCCCTTATACCAGAGAGCGGAATAGAATAGGGATACCACTTAGCAGTCTACCCTCCACAATTTATGTATAGATAGACTACGTTTGTGTGCTGCGATGCGATGCGGTTGTCCTGTTATTTACAATAAACACGATCCATAATGGACTCAGACCAGCCTCCAATCGCATTCGTCATATACGCATATATGTTGATATACTTCAAGAAGAATGCTGACAGCACAAGGCATCTTCAGATATTTTGTTTAAATAATAATTTTATTGGTGCCAAACAATTTCCATTTCAAATAAATAAATAAAATAAATTATATTTGGTTCGAGTATAAACTGTTGCATTTGAAACAAAGTGTCAAATATTTATGAAATTAAAAAAATTTAGTTACTATAGTTAACCCCAATTGCTATTATATATGGAAAGCAATTATTGTCAGCTAATACACGGAAAGAAATCTTGTTAGAATATTTAATAAATCTAAATAGAAATTTTGATATTTTTGTTTTTCAATTGCGAAACATTCTGGTTTGATAATAACAGTCGGTATAGTTTTACGAATACCTTTAACTGAAAACATTTTACGAAAACTGAAATTATTATTTCTTAATTCAAATCTACAATTTTTACTAAATTTATACGAAAAACAAGAACCAACATTTCGTAATTTGCTAAAACTATACGAAAAAGCAGGAGCCGTGAAAAAAAGAAGAACGTCGGAACCACCAATGGCTCTTTTCTCAGGTTTTCTCTCCTTTTCTATTCGAGGGTAGTGGGGGTAATACACACTTAATACACACACATAACTGGTACGCTTTGATTGGCTTAAAATTATTCCTAACACATCCTAACTGAAATGAGCTGAAATGAGAAATTGTGGACTTCTTTATATACTAAATAGACAGATTTTCCACTTTCCACTTTCTTATCGACTATATCAAAATGTAAAATGATTACACCAGTTAACGGAATTCTAAACACAGGAAATGAAATACTTTATTCTAATACTTGTTACAGGGCGTATTAGAACTTAACATTTGGAGTTTTCATAATACAATTATGAATTTCGCAAAAACTATTTCAATTTTTATTTCTAAATATATTAAACTTTATTATTTTTATTTTAGGCATTCTTAAAAAAAAGTAACGAAAGTTATTACCACCACAAAATGTGCAAAAATTTTCCGCAAATGTAACTTAATATACTAAATATGAGTGTCAAAATATTAAATATTATCCTTACAAGATTTCTTTCTGTGTACATCAGCAAATATAGCTTCCATATCTAAAATGTTTTGCTGTGGCAGCTAAATATTAACTACCAGAGCTAATAATTCACTATCTATATATAATAGCAAACTCATTTTTCTACGAGAACGTCCATTATTATTAATAATAAGCACCCAGTAAAAGAAACTAATTCAGATGAATTGAAATGAATTAACTTTTTTTGGCAAGGTCCAATTCGTATTTGTCGCTAAGCAAGATTCAGTGAAGCCCTTTGTATATTCAATTCGTACCAATGAGTTTTCTTCGGTTGAGAATTCAAACAAAATGACCAACTCGTCTATTGAATTCATGCTGACGAATTGAAAAAAATTAAAGCTCAAAAGTTTGTTCATTGAATTAGTACGGATAGAAAGTTTGGAAATTGAATACAGCTTTATCGAATTCAGGAGAATTTAGCTCCAATTCGAATTTGTCGCTAAGCTAGATTCACTGAAGCCCATCAGGGTGTATTCATTTCAATTCAACTGAATTAGTTTTCATTTGCTGGTCAGGCACGTGTATAATAGTTAGATTGAACTTATCAATTAATTCATTATCAATAAAAGCGACGATTATCATTTATTGAACAAGCAGATATTCAGAAAATAAGTATGATAATAATCAATTCATAATAAATAAACATTAATGCCGTTTCTGGTGTCAAATTTTCTTTTTTGCTTTATTTACTTTTTGTCATTCTAGTTTATTATACATTTTCAAATTGATTTGAAATAATGAAAAATTAGTATAGCATGTCATTTACTTTAAATCCATATAGTGTATAAATTTTTGCATGAGAAAAAATATACACTCAATACGTGTTATATCTAAAGCGGAAAAGACAGATTAATGACCAATAGATGCTGAAGCACGAACTGGCTCTTATCTCACTTCACCGATATTTACTTTGACTCTTGCCATTGGGGTATAGTTAAATTATAATAGTCCCAAACCTACATTAAATTATTATATGTACTTGTTGAATAATATTTGACATTTTTCCGCAAAAATTATTATTTTCCATTATTTGCTGTCTCAATGTGTCAATCGTGTTTTGTTTGTAAGTATAATAAATATTATATACTTTTTTATACGAACTTATTGATGATAAAATGGTAAAATTAATGAACTATGCGGCTTTAATGTCTTAGGTCCATTCCTTGGGACCATTATGGAAATGACAAACTTGGATCACAATAAAATTCTTAATGAGAGGCAAATTTAGTGATTTTGATTATTATAATTTGATTTGTTTTTCATATTTATGGAGACGAACAGATGTTTGTGTTGTTGAATCTCAAAGGGAGCGATGATGCTTTATTAAATGTGTATTTGTAAAAGAAATAGGTAGTGTGAAATCGTCAGCTTGCTACTCTAAATTGATCTCGTTTGTGTGAAGGACTGAAAAAAGCTTCATCACCGGAAATAATAGGAATCCCAAGCATAGCAGGCGGGTGTCTTAATGCCGCAAAAAAGAATTATAGCATCAGGCTGTTGACGATGTTAGAAATGATGCTCGAGATGAATAAACGCACTTAGGAATCTATCTACGTATAGAAGCGGCGCCTAATGTTGGAAACATTCATTTCGACGCACCGATCTCATCGCAGGGCGATGTGAGTTATGTGGGCCACGTGCGTGTTCTCATACCTTTATTACCAAGCCTCACACGAGATAACCGTACTGCGGCATCCGACTCTGCACAAAGGTTCCAGACAGAGGGACGCCATCAATGTGCCTCCGGCTTTCATTAAATTTACCATCATCAAGTCCTTAATAGAAAGACAAAACATGACATATATAACTTCAAAGCGACGTTCAAAGTTATATACCCACTATACGGAAATTCATTTCGCCTGCTGTGTATGTGTTGGATCCAATAAAAACAGAACGTCATAAACCGAAAATGTATTTCTTCGACAATTTAAACGATTATTCATTTAAACTTTCAGAAACGAATGCATCAAAATAAACTTATTTTCATAAATAGTATTAAACAAAATTCCAATTCGCTTGGTTGGGAATCACGAAAACTGCGTTACATCGTGGACAAAAAATTGTCAAGATTCAAGATTTATAAAAGAGAAGGCCACATAAGGTCAAATTCAGTGTATATGAATAGACATATACACTCAGAAGCGATCCCTGGATTAGTTGAGATTACTGGAGGATATATGTTCGTTCGGCCTGATTTATAAAGTTGAATCATTCAATTTTGTTCTGCAGATGTGTGATGTTGAATCAAGTTGCATTAATTTCCCAACTTCCTTCCCGATTGCAAAAAAAAACTTACAGATATTATGAGGCAACAAGTTTTTTATTTTCCTAAAAACGTGAAACTGTTAAATATTTGTTATAAAAGTGAGTTTTTATAATAAAATAAAAATGTAGTGTTAGATATACAAATGAAAACAGGATAATCTGTAGATTATCCTAGACATACGCATTCTCATTTTATGGAATGTGGTGCTTAATGTGCAGCAGAGGCACAAAGGAATAAAAGCGGCTCTTGTCGTAATGGAATATGTATATACAAGGCGTTTCTATAAGCGATCTTGATACAGAGAATCGTTCGTCTTTCTTCAACAGATTCCCCGCTGAGACGATGAGAACTCTATCCTTTTTTCTTGAACATAACACCAGCGAAAACACCGGTCGCAAAAGGGACACTGATCTTATCGAATCGTTTCTCGTAGCTCATCAAGAATTTCAAGCTGAAATTCGCTAAGAGTTAATGATCTAGAATTTCTCCTTCAGCAGAAATTATTAATGTGCTCGAAAAAATGTTAAATAAAATCTGTGCTTAAGACTTTCAATGAAATCGCATATTAAAAGTAAAATTTATTAATAAAAAGACGTAAAGTTTTTCTTTAAAAAGTACATGTACAAAATAATTATTGAATGTTTTTAAACATAGTCGTCTGAAGAGAATTTAGTAAATATAAATTTCCTTGAGAATTATTTGCAAATCACGGCTATATAGTATGTACTGGTATATTATGCTAGAATTATGTAGCGGGTGTACAAATAATTCAGGGGATAAGCGAATTAAGTCGAAATGGGATGATGAAAGGCACATTTAGGATGAGGAGGAAAACTCGGCCCTTGAGTTGGCGCCGTTCGAGGGCTGATGTAGCAGAGCGTTTTGACCCCTCGAAGCAGAGCATGACGCGTGCTCTGCTCATGAATCAAGTCGCATTAGAGAACGAGCCTGCTGGGGTAGGTACCAATCTTCCACTTGGACTTTGAGTAGATTGGATTCTCCAGCTTTATTCAATTATCCGTGGATGAAAGAGGCTCGTGGTTTATCTGACGTCCATGAGTTTGCAAATCAAACACAATTCTCAGATAACATAGCTCTATGTTTGAGAATTATGTTAGAATTGTCACTAAATTAAAGTTTATGTTAAAGTTACATCTGCCTGACAATGACGTTCAAATTTAAAAATTATTACACTGAGAAAAAAAAATTTAGTGTTTGCAACAAAATTGTTTGGTTATAGGCAATTTTGGTTCTTGTAACCAAATTTTGGTTGGCTGAAACAAAGTCGTAGAGTTATATCTCAACCAAACATTTGGTTAGGCCAACAAAATTATTTGGTTGAACATTTTTAAATTCCAACCAAAATTTGGTTACGGCAACAAAATAATTTGGTTAACACAACAAAATAGTTTGGTCTAAAAAACCAAATGATCGTTTGTTGTCCTAACCAAAATTTGGTTGCGACAACCAAATAATTTGATTCGCTCTCAGCTCATAAAAGAACAGTTATAGTTTAAATCTCTTACAAGAATGTGGTCAGAGGTCCCCCGCTGACTTTGTCGCAATTTTCGACGGCAATACCTTCAAGAGGTAGAAATTGTAAACAAAGATATAATGTTAAAAAGTATTGGCGGATGACTGAGAATATAGTATAAACGTCGATCTCAAAAGATTAATCAATAATGAAAATGTTAACTAAATAGTTCGTTCTATTGGTCACTTATAATTTTTTTGTTTTTGAGACTGAAAGTTGATGTTTAGATTTTTCAGGGTACATATGTACACACTTTTTTGGTAGCAAACACGGAGAGAAATAGACTATCTAGATAGTACCAGGTACCATTTTTTAAATAAAAAAATTACTTATCCTCCCAATTTCGGAAATATTTCGTACTAATATTGGTAGAGTATCCATTGTTTGTGGAAATTTTTCCGAAGTTTCAGGAATAAATTCCAATTTTCATTGGAAATACTATTTTTCCTCACATTTTCGGAAATATTTCCTACTAATAGTGGTAAAATATCTATTATTTTCGGAAATTTTTCCGATATTTGAGGAATAATTTCCGCTTTTTGCGGAAAAACTATTTTTCCTGATCTTTTTGGAAATATTTCCTTTTAAATATTCGGAAAAAATGTTTTTCCTCCTGATTTCGGAAAAATTTCCTCTTATTTTATCGGAAATAATTCCCAAATTTTTTACAGTGTATATATACATATACAGCTATATCTATAGGTTCTATCAGATTGTACGGAGTAACATCTTGATTATAGTGGGTAACATAACCATATTTTTTGTAACATCTTAGATGGTACCGAGTAGCATAATGGTGGTACCCGCGCGGATAACATCTACTTTTAACCATCTTAAGATAATAAGATCTTACTATCTATTTCTCTCCGTGTACAAAAAAAACTGTTTGACGTAAGGTGCAGTTATAAAAATATTTTTATAAATTTCTTAAAAAATGTTATTATTATAAAGTATTAATCGATGTCAAGGTTTTTTAACATGTAACGTATAATTTACAGAGTGAACTGAGAATTCGTCGAGAGTCGGAATCGTACATTTATTTAATAAAATATATACTACATCGCGCGTATATATATTATTAAAAGAAAATAATTTTACTATTTTTCTCATTTCTGTTGTAGTTCACACTGAGTCAATGTTTAAAAATTATATAAAACTTATTATATGTATTTTAGAAACAAACTCTTTTGTCAAAAAAAGAAAAATTCTAAAAAAATGTTTTTTAAAACTTGTTGATCAATAAAAATTGCAAAACATTCTTTTTAGACAAAAGTTTATAAAATTTTTCAATCAAAAACTGATTAATTTAAAAATATATCAATGTTGTCAACTTGACAAGGTAATTTCGTCTACATATATATTTACAAATACAACTTGCCTGCCAAAACTGTATACTTATACATATAGAAAACTTGAATGTTGTCTTGACAAAGCAATTTTATATCTATATATATACTTAAAAAAAACTTGTCATTTGGAGATTTTTAGGAACGCTGCGATTATAAATTTGATCAGTCAATTTTAAATGACTGATCAAACAAACTGCTCTTATAATTTAACATAACGTCCTATATATTTTTCTTCTTTTATACCTTTTTGGACATTTGAAAATGTTACTAATATTTTGGACCAAAAAGAACCAGAGGACATTGTTCAGAACTTGATTGATTCTTGAATAATTTTTACCCAAATTAAAGTGACGGCTTTCAGATGGCATAGTTCCACATTAAATTATCCACGATTTGACAACATTTGACATTTTGTATTAAAGCTCAAAATTGGTTAATTTTTGTGAGTTGATAAACGGGATTTAACAGCAATTAGAGTAAATGCATATTCCCCAAAGTGTAATATATTTATAATGAATGAACACGTGCGGTTTCGGATAAGGACAAGTCATTGTCGGCACAACTGAGGTGGTTTAGAATCGAGTCGCAGGTAGGCGTGGTTATATCGCGCAGACGCCACGTGACCCTGCGGCTAGAAAAGGCGGGACTTGGGCAAAACAAGCCACAACGTTCGCCGAAGGAACCGGTGACGTGCCACTGTCATCTCGTTGCACGCCGTTTTAGATGCCGGTTGGCACCTGTTCGGAAAACAAGTACATGTCTGCAATACTTGGAGGATGCTCGTGCCACCGGACATTGTGGCCACTCAGTCCAACAAGATGCTCTATCAGATAAACAAGTACTACGTAGAGAGAGTCCAATCTCGAACGGGTCAGGTGCAAAGAACCATCCGTGAAGTGTGCAAGGTGGTGCAGGATGTGTTGAAAGAGGTTGAGGTGCAGGAGCCGAGATTCATCTCGTCCCTCACCGAGTGCAACGGACGCTACGAGGGGCTGGAGGTGATTTCACCCGGCGAGTTCGAGGTCGTTCTCTACCTCAATCAGATGGGCGTCTTCAATTTCGTTGACGACGGCACCCTCCCGGGTTGTGCGGTACTCAAGCTTAGCGACGGAAGGAAAAGATCCATGTCTCTCTGGGTGGAGTTCATCACTGCTTCCGGATATCTTTCCGCACGAAAAATCAGGTCCAGGTTCCAGACCCTCGTTGCTCAAGCTTGCGACAAGTGCACCTACCGCGAGTCGGTAAAAATGATCGCGGACACAACGGAAGTGAAACTGAGGATCCGCGAGAGATTCGTCGTTCAAATCACACCTGCATTCAAGTGCTCCGGAGTGTGGCCGAGGTCTTCAGCTCACTGGCCCATTCCGCACATTCCCTGGCCTCATTCCAATCTGGTTGCCGAAGTCAAAACCGAGGGCTTCGACCTGCTCTCCAAGGAAAGTATTGCACTCCAGGGGAAGCAGTCGGCCATGGAGGGGGACGCTTGGGTCTTGTCCTTCACTGACGCCGAATCAAGATTACTCCATGCAGGGTGTCGCAGACGCTGCCTCAGTATTTTGAAAACCTTGAGGGACCGCCATCTTGATTTGCCTGGCAATCCTGTCACCAGTTATCACATGAAGAATCTGCTCTTGTATGAGTGTGAGAAGCATCCACATGAAACTGAGTGGGAGGAGAGCTGCCTTGCCGATAGAATCAATGGAATCTTTTTGCAATTGATTTCATGCCTTCAATGCAGGAGGTGCCCCCACTACTTTTTACCAAATCTCGATCTGTTTAAGGGCAGGTCTCTCAGTGGATTAGAAAATGCAGCGAAACAAGTTTGGAGGTTGACGAGAGAGCTTTTAACTAATAGTCGAGCTCTGGAGAAGCTTTAGCCTCATTTTCCCCTCGCTTCAAATTTATGTGATATCATGTATGTATGCGAATTGCAAAGTAGTTGCAATTTGACTCCTATACACGCTTAATTGCTTCATACTGTATATATTATTTAGGAAAATTGAAGAAACTTTAGTTCCATATCTTAAATTTAATAAAATATCACCCTTTACATTTATAAAAAAAAATTATAAGGGCAAACAAAAACAAAAATATATATACATATATGGGTGATTCTCCGCGTAGCGCACGATTTGGTGTCTGAAACTTTAAAAATATTTTTTTATCGAAATGATAAATATCAATACATATATTTTTGAAGATAAAGTGTCAAGAAATAAATATCCATGGTGGGCCGGAAAAATTTTTTATAATGTTTTAATTTTTTTTAAAAAATTAGAAAAAAATTCTTTGCTTTTTGAATTCTATAAAATAGTTGAAATTTGATTTAAAATGTTTATGGAATTTTTTCGGGTAATTCACAAAAATATATATAGCGCGAACGACAATTAAAAATTTTTATTTCGGTAATTTACGGAAATTTTCGAGGTAATTTATGAAAATTTATGCGGTAATTTACAAAAACATAAATAGCGCGCAAACGACAATTAAAAATTTTATTTTGGTAATTTATGGAAATTTATAGAAATTTATTTGGTAAGTTTTAGTAAACTTACCGGAGCTATGATAGTTTATAATAAATATTTTTATTTTCGTTTGTTTCATTGTGTATTAAACTTGCACTAGTGACGGTCGAAATTCTGTGGCGGGTGGAGACGCTGGGGTCGGTGGAACTGGCGTTAATAATTTTTTTTTTGAGAAAATTATCATTTATTTTTAATCGGTTTCATATGTTTCACATATATATAGACTAAAATAATATAACTACACTTTATTCAACCTTTATTATTTAATTATATTCTATTTTTTTAAAAAATATTGAAGGGTCGTTGAATGCCGGAGGAGACGATTTTGTGATGCCCTGTACAAATTTGAATCTTGAAATGTGTAAAAAAAGGATAAATCAATTAGAAAATTGCTTATTTTCTTCATGGATCAACTTAAGGAATATAACTTTTGCTGTTACTGAAGTAGAACTATATTAACATTTGACTTTTATTTAAATAATTCAATGTTTAATAATAAAACGCAGAATAACACACAAAAGTGCAGTCAAGTATAAATAGCAAAAAAAAAAAGAAAATATTTTTTTTTGATCAAACGTTTTTTTTATTCAATTCCACTACAATATACAATACTAAAATAGCAACAGAAATTGTATTTATTTGTGCACATTGCTAAAAATATTAACTTTTTTGTTTAAACATCCTGTGGGGACAGGTGAAATTTTGACGTTTTCAGCCTTAAAAACCACTTTTCACAAAAAATTATAATGTTAAATACAAAAGTAACTATTGGTTTTTGTTTGTAATCACAGAAATTACCTTTTTACATTGGAATCGAAATATTATGTGAACATTATTTGTGATTTTTCTTTCACAACATGAAAAAAGCAAATTGTGCGCTACGCGGAGAATCACCCCATATTCTAACTTTTGGCATTATATATACTATATTTAACGACTTTTAACTATACTATCGACAAAATTATTAGGTGTCAATATTTTGCACCCCTCTACTTTACGAAACAGCAAAAAATAATTTTCTTGATAAATATTATTTTTCTCGTTTTTCTCCTTAGAAATTAATATCGATAAATGGAATTGTTGATAAAAAAGAAAACAAATTGGTTTGTTATACTTTGGACAATTTGGATATATTATGTGACAACAAAACGTTATTGTTATTAAATCTGTATTAAATTTTATCAGTTTTCCCTGACACCGCCTACTATTTGAATTTTTTCTGTCTATAAATGCAATAAAAAAAATTTTGGGAAGTAAGTTTTTTGGAGGTTTTTTCATGCTTTTTCCAATGGTGAATTACGTTTTTTAAAATTTTTGAATTTTGACCTTGATTTTCTATAATTAAACATAAATTCGCTATTTTCACTAAAATCGGTCCGATTTTTTTTTAAATAAATAATTGCATACGAAAGCTGAGGTAAACAACGTAAACAGTTACCGCGGCGCGGTATAAGTCGACCGCCTCACTGCACGCGCCGACATAAAATCTTTGATATTTAATATCTCGAAAACAAAAAAAATCAGCATTCTGAAAATTTATATACAGATCGCTCTCTAAATCTGAATTAGTAAAAAATTAACTAATTCATTTAGTAAATTAAATTTCAACTAATGAATTAGTTATTTTTGGAAGTTTTACTAATAAAATAGTAAAAAATTAGTATTTGAACATTACTAATTTAAAATAGTAATCAAATTAACTAATTCTATTAGTTATTACACCCGAGTTACTAATTGAATTAGTCAGTTGAACGTAACCTCTATTATTTTTATGACGTATGTCATCTTCCATGCTCTCTTAATTTGAATCAGTGAAATTTCACTGGTGAAATAGCTAGAAGTCGGTTACTGAATCATTTAGTGAAATTTTCACTGAAAATCAGTCATATATCACTGATTTCCAGTGAAAATTTCACTAAATGAATCAGTCAATCTGTATTATCGGTAATGGGTAAAACAGATTGACTGATTCATTTAGTAAAATTTACACTGGAATTCAGTGATATATGACTGATTTTCAGTGAAAATTTCACTAAATGATTCAGTAACCGACTTCTAGCTATTTCACCAGTGAAATTTCACTGATTCAAATTAAGAAAGTGGGTTTTTTTTTTATATTTTTTTGTTTTTTTAGTATTATGTGAAACTATAGCTTGTACTCTATTCAAAATACTTTGTTTGATGCTTAAAATACTACTTTTGAAAGCATTTATTATTTTTAAATTATTGTCCTGTTTTTTTGAAGTATTCAAATACTAGGCGGTGTCAGGGAAAACTGATAAAATTGACCCCCCTCTATCTCCCCTAAAAGACCATTTATAAATTATGTATACTCTGTTCCAGGAGAGATCGATATTTTTTAGGACGAATTTGGGCCCTTTACACACAGAAAACTTTAAAAGGAGGCGTATATTATTTTCCGTTTCAGCAAATAAGCTTTCTCTTTCAATTTCTTTTAAATTTGAAGAAACATGTGTATTGACAACTAAATTTTTTTTATCCCTTTTAGGATCGTTTAGATTTTATTTTTAATTTTATTTTCATTTTGCAATGGAAAGCCATAAAACCATAAAAGACTAAAAGACACTCCTTATTCACTTAAAAATACACCCTTTTACAACAAGATGCGTAGAAAAATATCGTATCTTTTTACTTTGGACGGCAGTATATATATATATATATATATATATATATATATATATATATACCCTGTTTCAGGAAAGATCGATATTTTTCTGCGCATCTTGTTGTAAAAGGGTGTATTTTTAAGTGAAAAAGGCGTTTTCTAGATTTTTTTCTGACAAACATAGCCAATGATATGAAAAGGATTGTAACATGTGTTGCTTTTCCTATAACTAAAATCAAGCAAACATATTTAAAATTTTTGTGACCTGCGAGCCTGGTCTCCAAAAGGCAGTCAGAAGGGTCTTTTATGGTTTTATGGTTTGTCATTGCAAAATTAAAAATTGTTGGAATTTAAAAAAATAATTGTATAAATATTATATTTGTAATGTACAGGTTAAAACAATTACAACGGTATAAAATTTTTTGCAAATACTGTAAGATTAGAGTTTGTACATATGTAAATCATGAAATTATATAACTTTTCCAAAAGCAAATTTTAATATTTAGACGTAAAAATTTATAACGTTGGAATCGTCAAAATCTGCAAATGGTAAATTTAATATTTAAAAAATTATTTCTTTGGATTTAAATATTTTTTATTTTGCACCAAAATGCCATAAAATCTGAACGACCCTAAAATGGATAAAAAAAATTTTGTTGTCAATACACATGTTTCTTCAAATTTAAAATAAATTGAAAGAGAAAGCTTATTTGCTGAAACGGAAAATAATGTACGCCTCCTTTTATAGTTTTCTGCGCGTAAAGGGCCCAAATTCGTCCTGAAAAATAACGATCTCTCCTGGAACAGGGATTTTAATAATTGTCCAATTGAGGTGCCGAATCAAAGAAGGGTACATAATTAATGTAATTCAAATGGGTTAGGTGCTCTTTTTTGATCTGGCAGTTCAATCATATATTTATTTATAATTAAGTAAATTTATTATAAAAAAACAATATTTTTCTATTAATTTAAATCTCAATTTATTTATAATAATTTGCATAAAGCAAGTAAAATGCAATTTTTAAATTTCTCAATATGTATCCTAAATTACCCACAAAAAAGAGAAGTATACATCTTTATATTTAAGATATTTTGGTACAGTCACTTTTCAGATATATTTTAAATTAAGATGTTAATAGTATCTTCACTGCAACACTAGACATATTTTTGATGAAAAAAATTTTGCGGTTATAACTATAAGCGCTCTTATTATGTAAGATATACTTAATCTATTCTCAACAATGATTGTTTAATTTCAGCAACAATTAACCGTAAATGCTTTCTTTTTTGAATAATCACAATATTTAACAACATATTTTGAAGTTCGTTTTTAATAAAAAATTTTTTTAAGGCAATATCATTTTTGTGAGACAAAACACATTCTCTTATTTAACTTGGAAGTCGCAACATTCGACGAAAAACTGTAAAAAATAATAGCGAAAATCCTCTTGAATTAAGAATATTACTTTTAATCAGAGAGTATTTTCCTTTTATTTTAAGAGGAATATTCTTAAATACAGAATAATTCTCTTAAAATAAAAGGAATCCTTTGCGTGATATTCTAGAGGATAATATTCATTAAAATAAGAGGAATTCTCTGAAACAAAGAATTTTTTTATAGTGAAGAACAATTAAAAAATAATCACGTACTATCAAGTTGTAATTTCTGCAAAACATATATTTTAACATTTATGAAAACTACACTGAAAAAAATATTTAGTCAGTGCAACCAAAATTTGGTTGGAATAACAAAAAAATTTTGTTGGTATTTAAGCAACCAAACTATTTGTTTGAGTCAACCAAAAAATTTGGTTGAGTGTTTTTTGTTGGCATAACAAAAATGTTTGGTTAGCCCAACCAAATTTTTTTTGTTAGGTCATCAAAAATGTTTGATTGATCAAACAAACAGTTTTTTTTGTAAAATTAAAAATTTTATTCTACCTTATTTCTTTTCTTTTTATCTTTTTTATTTATAGCATTATTTATTTATTATCAATTTGACATTGAATTTATATTTATCCAATTGAAATATTTGTGGACATTGAAAAATCTCATTTCCGCCTGGCAATAACGAACCTATCTGTTTTAAAACTGAAGATCGGGAGCTCTGACCACTGGACTATACCCATCCTTGTGAGAGATTTAAACTAACTGTTCTCTTAAGCTATGAGCTGAGAGCGAATCAAATTATTTAGTTGTCGCAACCAAATTTTGGTTAGGACAACAAACGATCATTTGGTTTTTTAGACCAAACTATTTTGTTGTGTTAACCAAATTATTTTGTTGTCGTAACTGAATTTTGGTTGGAATTTAAAAGTGTTCAACCAAATAATTTTGTTGGCCTAACCAAATGTTTGGTTGAGATAACTCTGCGACTTTGTTTCAGCCAACCAAATTTGGTTACAAGAACCAAAATTGCCTATAACCAAACAATTTTGTTGCAAACACTAAATTTTTTTTCTCATATATATAGAAAAGATTCATGACCACGTATTCGCGATGTCTCTTTTTGATGCATCTTTTCCTCTAAAATATGGTATTAAGATATTAGGACTTCCTCTTAATTTAAGCAAACGGTATGTCCTGTTACTTTTAAAACAAAAACCAAAAATTATTTTTATCATCGTTTAGAAAATGTTTATAATACTGATACGAAGGGTAATGTGATTTTATAATAAAAGTTATTTTATATATATATATGAAAATTGTAATATATTTACCAAATAAATTGTCGAATGTACACATTGTCCATCCTCGTTTGGTAAGTGTAGATATTATATTTTGTGTATTATTGTTCTAGAATCAGTAAAATCTTTGCGCGAAATTGTTTCACTTTTCCGAATTTGATATTTAATTTTTATTAATAACTATACCTAAACAAGCCCTCTTTTGGATCTTTTAAACTCCGGTAGGCCCTCCTTTGAATCCAATAATGGTGGAGAAAAGGGAAATTTGCGACTGATTGAGGAAGCTAAAGAGGGTCAGTTTAACCCTACTTTACTCCTAGAAAAATAGGCCTTAAATTTCGCCTCGAGCATTAATATAATATTAGTTATTAATTAATTTTTTATTAAGTTATTTTAATCCAATAATTCAGAATAAGTTTAAAATTTTATTATCATGAAGAAAGCAATTGATAATTAAAGCGGAATTTAAAATAAATTAAAAAATTTATGCGAGCAAACATGGGACAAATATCTAAGTCATTTTTACGCCTAATGAATAGTTATCCCGTTTTTGCCCTGACAAAGTTTTATTTCATGCTTGACCGTAGCGCGTATTTTGTTTCATTTTTCTAGATGTACACATTTACCAAATTTGTACCTTCACCGTAACATATATATATCATAAACTGTAAATATTAAAAAAATATATAATATCATTATTATTTATAAATAATAAATATAAATAAATTTTATAAATAAATTTATAAAAATATGTACTTTTAATTTGAAGAAAATATTTAAATCTATATATAAGTATATCTAATACCGGCGAATAATAAATTTAACTGCGTATACGTATTTTTAATTTGGTTATAGTTTTATTAGTGCCCACTATAAAAAAAAGAATTGGTTGTGACGATGAAATTATTTATAAATGTCTCAACCACATTATTATTTGGAAATCAAACATACTCGTTATCCTCAACAAAATATCTGCTCAATTAAATGGTGAATTTTAAAAACGGCTCAAATCCACAGAAGTGTTAATGTCACGCATTTATCTTAATAATATTGTTAGTTAAAATGATTTATGGTTTTAAAAGTTGAGTTCTTTTCGAAATTAATGATAATGAAAAATAACAATGTTGCCTGACAAAACATTTTTTTTCTATACTTGAAAGTAAAGTTTGCCTGACAGAATAACTTTTTCTACTTGATGAGAGATGGGGGCAAGAATATAGTTGGTAGTTCGCATCTAATACCAAAGAAGTTCATTCAAAAAGCTCGCCATTCCCCATGTGTATTTATCTAAGCACCAAATTGCGACAGTAAAAATTAATTCACAGCGACATACAGAAGTTACGAGTTCAAATAATAATAAGATACAGTTTTAGATTTTTTAGCTCGGACAATTTTTTATATATAATATTAATTATTATTATTATTATTAAGAAAATTATTTCAGATTATAGATTACATGCAGTATAGGTTTGATCCAATAAAATTGGATAAATTCAAATTTATACTGATAACTTTAAATCATTTTTATCATTTAAACCCCGGTACTGGGGCAAGGTTAGTTGAATTTCTTTTATATCAAAATTGTAGCTAATTATAATAAACATATATAGTCTTTCAGACGATATATACTATTCGTTGTTCTCAAGAATCCTTGCTCCATCCTCCCCTATACTTTTAAATGAAAGTTTAGTTTTTGTAGATTAAAGGAAATAATATAAGTATAGTCTGTCATATTATGGTATGATGATTTTCACAAAGAAGTACCCAGGTGGAAAAGTTCCCGGTAGTGACTACCGGTAGTGGCTAACGGTAGTATAACTACCGGTACCGCTGCCTGTACAGTCACTGCCGGTAGTTATTACCGGTAATTTTTCCGGGAATTATAACAAAATTTTAGTTGCGATTCCCGGAAAAAGTACTGGTAGTCACTACCGGGAACTTTACCACCTGGGATAAGAATCACAGCAATGCAATATTAAGAAAATTTTGATGGCGATTTTTTTCTGTTAAGCTGCGTGCGTATACGCAAAAAAGTAATCTAGGTAAATATAAGATAAAATTAAAAAAAACTTTTTGAATCTTGTAATAAATAAGTATGTATTTAATCGAAACTCATAAGATTATTCGCACAAGTAGAATGACTCATGTCACTTGAAACTTGAAACCGTAACGCGATAGCTTCAGGTACGGGGGGCACATAATCCGCAAGTATAGACTGCTCACGTGCGGGATTCGCCATATCGAAACTTGGAAATAAATAAGGGAGTTCTCGTGTTCAGTCTCACCCTGGCCAAAGCCTTGGAGTAAGAAAGCGTCCTGCATAATTCATAGCCATATATATAGCATGGAAACTGCGTGGAGGGCACAAAACACTAGCCATAATTTAGGTATAGTGCATGTGTGTAGGATTCGTGGAGGGGTGAGTTGGCAGGATCGATGTTTGAGGGCGGGCGGCGCGGATAGGCGAGGTTTAATCTTCCCCGAGGTTCGTTTATTGGTGGTGGATGCGCGGCTCGTGGTGTGGCCACGCTCACGGAGGCGTGGAATATCACCTGCCTTGTTCAAGGAGTTTTCCTCGCGTGGTGGTGGCCGCGTCCGCAGTCTGCAATCAACTTCAGTCTCGAGGCCCTCGAAGCGCCGCGCATCTTCAGTCAGCCTCGAGGGTCGTGTGAGATGTGGAGGTGATTTCTCAACGAAAATCGGTCTCTATTGAAATCCTCGAATGATGTTGGTGCCATCGGATATGCTTTCTGCCTCTACGAAGATGGCTTACCAGATCAACAAGTACTTTGGAGAGCGGGTTATGACCCGCAAGAACCAGGTGGGCAAGACGATTCAAGAAGTCTGCCGAGTGGTGCAAGACGTTCTCAAGGAGGTGGAAGTCCAGGAGCCGAGGTTCATTTCGTCGCTGACGGACTACAATGGCAGGTTCGATGGACTTGACGTCATCTCGCCCACAGAGTTTGAGATTGTCATATATCTCAATCAAATGGGAGTGCTGAACTTTGTCGATGATGGCACCCTCCCTGGCTGTGCAGTTCTGAAGCTGAGTGACGGCCGTAAGAGGTCCATGTCCTTGTGGGTGGAATTTATCACAGCATCCGGATACCTTTCCGCGAGGAAGATCAGGTCTCGGTTTCAGACTCTGGTGGCCCAGGCCTGTGACAAATGTGCCTACCGAGACTCCGTAAAGATGATCGCCGACACGACGGAAGTGAAGCTCCGAATCAGGGAGAGGTACGTGGTGCAGATCACGCCGGCCTTCAAGTGCGCCGGTCTCTGGCCCCGGTCGGCTTCGCACTGGCCCATTCCGCACATACCTTGGCCGCATCCAAACATTGTCGCCGAAGTTAAGGCCGAGGGTTTCGATATGCTCTCGAAAGAGTGCATCGGACTTCAGGGCAAGCAGTCTGCCATGGAGGGTGACGCCTGGGCTCTGTCCTTTATTGATGCCGAAAATCGCCTTCTGCAAGGCGCCAGCAGAAGAAGATGTCTCAGTATTCTGAAGACACTGCGGGACCGGCATCTGGATCTTCCGGGAAACCCCGTCACCAGCTACCACATGAAAACCCTCTTGCTCTACGAGTGCGAGAAGCATCCCCATGAGGCAGAGTGGGACGAAACTTGTCTGGCAGACAGAATCAATGGAATCTTTCTACAACTGATATCGTGTCTGCAATGCAGAAGATGTCCACATTACTTTCTTCCAAACTTAGATCTCTTCAAGGGAAAATCTCCCAGTGGCTTGGAGAACGCAGCCAAACAAGTTTGGAGATTAACGAGGGAACTGCTCACCAATAGTCGAGCCTTGGAAAAATTATAGTCCGGATTTGTGAGATTGATCGCCAATTGTTACGCAAAATAAGCAGTAGTGCATTGAACCCAGTGTCAACAAGTGTTAAACACTTTCTGTCTTATTTAATAAAAGACAATTTTATGGCGTATATAGTTATCTGCAATAACGACATGAATAGATTATTATGAGTGCTAGAATTAAGACACTACGGAAATGAAATTGCAACAAGATGAGAGTTCTCTTCATAGTCGGATTATGGTTTAGTTGCTTTTTCAAATTCAAATGAATTGAGCGCAAGTTACAATTTAAAAAAATAATCCTGTGGTGCTGTGATTGTGTCGTGATTCAAGCCAATATACGCCCAAATTATATAGTGTCGTGTATATGAAACGTAAAGAGTACATCAGTGAAAGTTGTTTTATATTTTAGTGGAAAATGTATAGAGAAATGAATGATGAGTGGGTGTTATGTGGAGTACTTCGGCACCCAATCGAAAATAACAGGCAACAATTTAGTGACTGAAAAACAATTTGTTTATAGGTTGATGATGTAATGGTCAAGTTTGCAACGTTGATGATATAAACGATTTTATAAATTTTTCTCTTAAAAATATCTTCTTCATCGTTTATTTATCAATAAAGTTTCAATAACAGTTTTTTAGCCAAAAAATTGCACAATTTTTCGTCTGCATTTTTTTAAAATGTTCATCATAAACGTTATTAAAAACTTCACCATCATTTAGATTGCAGGAAGAAATCGAATCAAATATGATGAAAAAATTAATATTGAAATATATTTTGAAAAGACATATTCCAATAGAAAAAGCAGATTCACAATTACAGTTTAATTGATTTTTCTTCCTGCATGAGAGAGCAGAGAGTAATAAGTTGATCCGCCGTCGCTAGTCGAGCTAATATTTGCATTCGACATTAAAATACTTTTACTCTTTTTGAACACAAAAGAAACTAGTCATAAACTTTGTTAAAAATTTGTATACTATCGCTCTTGATATACACATTTTTGTCATCAACTGTAAATACTTTTTAAGTGTTCCATTTACTTAAAAAGCATACTAAAATAAATATGCGTTACTTTACACAAATTATTTTTAAAGTTTAAAAGTTATTTAATTTCAAACTTTCAATTACTATGAGAATAAAGGTAGAAAATATAATCACTCGACTAACGATGAGAGGATTATGTAATTTATACAACCAGGCTAATTTTTAATCTAATAAATCAAAATCTAACTTGCTTTAATGTGTTCCCTTTTGACAAAGTCATTTGCGGTCAATGAAATTTCTTTACTTAATAAAGCAAATTTTTAATAAGTAAAAATTATTTTTCGGAAATAAAAAAAAATTTGTATATAATTAAACAAGACATTTAATTTTCTTGAATGACTAATACATATATATATACCCTGAAAAAAGTAATCTCATATTTAGAGGAAAAATCCTCTTCTAATATCCTCTCAATTTTTCCTCTTAAAACAAAAGTATTCCACTTGAATGTAGAATATTTTTATTCTTTGGTGACTAATAATAAAACAAAACAATTTTTTTGAGGTTCTGATGTCAAAAACATTGAATTAAAGTTAAATAAATAAACAAATCTATTAATTAATGTAAGTAATTAACTACAAATCATTAATTATATTTAATATTTAATTAAAGATATTTAATTTAGTGCATGATAATAGCTTTTCTTTATCAGTTTATAACCATAATTGTCAAATTATATGCGGGAGAAAAATCCTCTCAAGTGAAGACTATTACTTTTGATACAATACATAAGAGAAAAATATGCATCAATTTAAGAGGAATTCGCTAGAATCAAGATTACTTTTTTAGGGTATATATATATATATATATATATATATATATATATATATATATATATTTGTCGTTAAAAAGTTTAAGAGAAATATAAAATATTTCGTTGAAGCGCAAGCAAAAATGTTTTTGAGTTTATTTCGTTAACAACAAAAACTATGAAAAATATTTATTATATATATATATATATATATTTATTCTCAAAAAGAGATTCAGACTGGCTTTATATTATAAAACAAACATCGTTTGGGCATTTAATGACAAACTATATTCCTGATTAACTTTATGATAGTTCCTTTTGTAATATTTAATCAAATATTTCCAACAGGCGAAAAAACGACATAAAATTTGTTTATACTCTTTAAAGAGTTATTTATTTGTTATTGTTTCCGTGTAAATAAGACACGAGTGAGCATTTTTATTTGCGACGGCAATTTTGTCGAACAATTTTTAAATATATACTATAAGACTCGCAAGAGTGTATTTTAAAGTGAAAAAGAAGAATTTATTCGCAAATGCGAATTTTTCATTGAATATTTGTTTTTATCGACACTGCAATTGTAAATATAATTCAAAATATTTATTGAAATGTAACAAAATTAAAAATACAATGATATTTATACGCAAAGAAGTTTTTTTAATTATAATTCCTATTTATTTTATTCATTTGTAATATAATTCCGAGACTCTATTTTTATTTTCAGTAATTATTATCTACAAAAGGGGCTTTATGACAATTATTTATGTTTTAGAAGTAAAAAAATAAATAAATTTAAGTGTTTTTTTTGATCGAGTTTCTCGTGATTTACTATTAGCAAAGCACAAGTATAATTTTTTTTAATAATCCTTTAATAAAATTTGTATACATAATAAGCTGAAAAAGTCTTTGATAATATTACATATATATAACTAAAATTTTTAAATGTAATAAAATATGTCAGTTATTACTACGGTAGCAAGTATTTGTATTACGGTATATGGTATTGATAAGCTAATTGGCCTCGTCTATCTTAATGGTTTCTTCTGTATACCGGCTTTTAGAGTTATTGTTCATGATATGATTCTAGACAAAGGGATTTTAATTGATAGATATTTATTTTAACTATATATATATTTTCAATCATTTTCCTCTGCAAATTATTATTTACAATAATTTGTGGGAATTGACAATTCTCGCATGTAATATTATGAAATTTTAGCAAACATTTTTTATTCGAGATATCCCAAGTAGAAATATCCGTAGCTCGCCGTAATTAAACACCGGCATGGTACTGATCCAATACTGGCTGTCGGTATTGACTTTCTGTACTGGCAGTGTACTGACTAAATACACCGAATCAGTACTATGTCGGAGGTAAAAAAATATTAAAACCAGTACTGGCAGTACACTGTCATTCACACCGAATCAGTACTATGTCGGTGATAAAAAACATTAAATGAAAAAGTCTTTAAATTATTTCAATAGGTAGAAAACGATGATTTTTTATTTAAAAAAATGTATATTAATTTCTTTCGAATACTTTCCCTCAAAATTTTGGATGTAATTGTAATGTATTATTATATACCTATATAAAATATATTTATGTTTTTTTAGTTATTTTAGTACTCATTGAAATATGCACAGAAAATTAAAAGGCATTAAAATAAGTTGCAACGCTTATTATTTTAATCCAATTTTGCTTATTTTAATACCAAGATGGATTAAAATAAGCAAAATTGGATTAAAATAATAAGCGTTGCAGCTTATTTTAATGCCTTTTAATTTTCTGTGTGTGCATTAAGTTATTTATCATGCATACAATAACAATAAGTTGAGAATTTTTTTTCTAATAGTTTTAAAAATAAAGCAAATGTAATTTTTTCACTGTAATTTTTAAATATTATTAATAATTAAATATTAAATTTAAAAAATTTTTCACCATTCATATTTTACAGTCGTCTTTTATTAACTTATTTTTAATTATGTAATTCATCAATCATTTTTGTCTGTTTTAATATTATTTACGGTAAAAATAATTTATTAAAAATATTTAACTGAAATTGATATCCAGTTTTATTTCATTAAATCTTTGTAAAAATTGAAAAAATTTTATGAGTTTAAAAAATTTAAGAATAAATTCATTTTATTTTCGTGATCAATAGATAATACAAACTTTGAAATCAAAACTTTTGTATTAGGTGAACTACTTCAAGTCAGCACTTCAAGCCAGCGCGGCTGTGCGGTATGCGTATCTGACTTGCGTTCCAAGGGTTTAGGGTTCGATCCCCCATGCGTGCGAGATTTTTCGTTCTTAGTTTTAAGTGTTATAAGTACAATATTTGTTCATGTGTAATATCAATTATTAAATAATTATTAAATTATGTATAAGTGCAAAGTAAAAAAAATTAAATATTATGAATTTAAAAAAATAAAAAAATTTACAACACAAATTATTTTTTGTAAAATAATTTATTAAAAATAAAATAATTTAATTAATATAAATGATAATTATTATTTTAATTATTTATTGTTAATAATATTTTATATATTCTAAATAACATTAACTATTATTGGCTTCACATTACCTGTTCGTGGTAAAAATGGGAGTAATAAGCTAATAAGGATGAAATTTGCATTGGAAAGCGTGTTTTAGCATTTTGTAAAAAAGTGAGATTTTAAGTCCGGATGAGTACTTTGCCAGTATTATGCCAGTATTATTCTAGTACTACGTTAGTACTGGTGAGCGGGACAAAATCAGTACTGGACAGCGTTACCAGCCAGGGTTGGTCCACTACTGGCCCAGTACGGCAGTCAGTACCGTTATACTGACTGGCAGTGTTGGGTCAGTACTATGCCAGTGGCACATTTCTACTTGGGTACTTTTGAACCTATTAACATTTTTTTATAAAGTAAAATTTTTACTTTGGGAAAAAAAATGTAGTGACTTTTATGTATTTTAATACGGTGATTACAAAAATCATAGTGACCAAATATTGAATGTTAAAGATACTGGATATATTTTTATTATGTTTCAGGGAAATTTATATTATTATCACAGAAAATTAAAAGGCATTAAAATAAGCTGCAACGCTTATTATTTTAATTCAATTTTGCTTATTTCAATCCATTTTGGTATTAAAATAAGCAAAATTGTATTAAAATAATAAGCGTTGCAACTTATTTTAATACCATATAATTTTCTGTGATATTTTATAACTAATTATTTAAAAATACTCAATTTGATAAATGTGTCTTAAATAACCCAAAAAATTACTTTTCCGCCTGCTATTGGTGGTTAGGCGGCAAAAGCCTACTTTCCGCCGCCTGTACCTGCAGCACGGTATATTCCCTGAATATCCGTTGAATACCAAAGTTGAATATTCTCATGATCTTCTGGAAAAATCAAAATGTCCGCATCATGGGAATATTCCATAGTGACATTCAGGGTATATTCCAGTGACATTTATGGAATATTCCAGTGACATTAAGGAGATATTCAGGTGATATTGTGGAAATATTCCAGTGATATTGAGGGAATATTCCATGGTTACATTGAATTTTTTTTTTAAATGTGTTTTTAATCTTCCTGCTTATTCAAATAACAATTTATAACATATTTCTATTATTTCAACACTTAAAAAAAATTCAATATAACCGTGGAATATTCCTTTAATATTACCCTCAATGTCACTGGAATCTACCCTTAATGTCACTGTGGAATATTCCCATGATGCGGACATTTTGATTTTCCTGGAAGATCATGGGAATATTCCACGGTGGTATTCAAGGGATATTCAGGGGATATACCGTGCTGCTTGGAACTAGGCTTAAAATTTTCGTAAAAGGAAGTAATTTTTTTTAAAAATTTTGAAAAAGTCTATCACTACGTAAATTGAGAAAAATGACCTTTTATCTTTAAAATTTGATAGTAATATTATTTGAAAATAAATTTCAATTTTTTTTTTTTTTTGTTGAAAAGTACGATTAAAAACTCACAGTTTGAGAAAAAAACTTTTAATATTGATGCATTTTTAAGGAAGTTATGAGCATTCAAAAATTAAAAGTCATGAAAATTCTGAAATTTTGAAAAATTTATATCTTCAAAACAGCTTTTTAAACAAATTTGATAAAAATCATGAAAGCTATTAGTCTCAATTAGTACTATAAAAGAAAAAAAAGTTTCAAAAAAATCGGAGATGCGTGGAATACATCATATATACTTATGAGCAGAAATTAAGTAAATTTTATAATTTTAACCCCAGTTTAAAAAACCATTTGTACCTTTTATGACTTTTTTTAATATTCAAACCAAATATAAATCATTTGAATTAAGTAAACATATGTATTTGGGTGATTAAAATTAAAATAGCATTTTCGGCATCTAATATGAATATTAATTTGACAATATTGGAATTGGGGTTAGCAGTATTTTTTTAATTGTTTATCTACTAATTTCAAGATAGAGAGGTTAAACATAGGACCTCGATTGCTTACGTTTTCAAAACTCAGTGTAATCACTAAGATTATATTATAATGCGTAGTTACAAAAAAATGTTAATATTATGCATCACTTTCGTTAGCGATACCACTGACATTTACGCTCGACAAAAATGACTTGCTTTTCTTCCACGGGTAGTGTAATTTGTAGATGCATTAGAATGTTATTATTATTTTTCCCTAAGATTCTATAATATACACACGGCTCACATACTAAATATATATCAAGCTTGATATTGAAAACTTATGATATATTTCACTTAAAAATTTGAAAATTCCGGACACACCATTATGATTTTTTTCCAAAATTATTTTTATTGGCCAAATTTTTTTCTTAAAATATGGTCTTTTAATTTCACAACAAAATTTTTTTCATTATAAAAAATATTAAGATTTATGGTCTTTCATACATTGGCAACTTCAGGTTTAGTCGAAAGGACAAGTGACACCACTGACATTTTGACAGTAATTTGTCTGTCAAAGTTTTTCAGAGTGTTCCTGGCAGCTAAAAATTCGAATTTAATCAAGTCAAGTAATGCCAAAAAATAATTAACTAAAGAAATTTTTATATATTTATAAATACTTGAGTTTCATGGACAGGAGAGAAAAATGCCATTTCAAATCTAATCCCCCGTTTATATCAGAGCTAGAAATAAATATGAATTAAGCTCTGAGACAAATATAGTACTTTTTCTGAATGTATCTATACTGCAATCACCTGGTAATTTATTGTACAAAAACTATTTAATGATTTAGAGAATATGTGTTAAAAAGGGAAACTATAGAACGCTTTTACATTTTTTAAAAAATATATCGGGTACTTATATGAATTTATTTACACATTTATCAAAATGGAGTTCTGAACAGATTGTATTTGTAGTAGACATTTTAGTAGTTTATACTATAGTATAATAAAGGTTCAATTTTATTTTTTCTGTAGGATGTATTCCACGCCAAAGTGTAAGTCCATCTGCAATTGCATATCTCCGATTTTTTTGAGATTTTTTTTTCTTTCAGTACTAATTGAGATTAGCTTTCATGATTTTTTTCAAATTTTTTTAAAAAGCTGTTTTGAAGATATAAATTTTTCAAAATTTCAAAATTTTAATGACTTTTAATTTTTGAATGCTCATAACTTTCTTAAAAATGTACCA